CTAAAATATGTCAAAAATGACATGGTTACCTTACAAAAGTTGACCAAAAAGAGTGATTTCGTCAGCAGTGATTTTTAGCATGCCAATTTTCTCAGTGGAAACTAGCTGAAGGGCTTTCTATTCGAACCACAGTGACATCTAGAGGTTGTTTTGTGCATAACATGTCAACCAAAGGGTAGAGCTGGCTGAATCAGATGGAGTTCAACTTTATTATTTATTTTTCAACAAGATATCAAGACACAAAATGTGCTCTACCAAATGGTGGCGCTGGCTGTTAAAGGGATAAGAGTCAGTTCACCCTCCCCTTCCTCCACCTTTCCTCTACCCTCCACCCTCTTCTCCCCTGTCTGTGTGGCATGGAGCTGCACATCAGTATGCCAGCACAGGGCTCAGGTGATAATGCTTAGAGCTATAGGACACATTTATTCCAACATGGCTAGCCGTGTACAGGGCCAAAAGGATCCTGGTCACCCCCCGGAGCCCCACGTCCTCTGGAGCCATGAGGACAAAGAAGGGGAACAGGCCACCGGGGCCTTCCGGCCTCAGCTGCACCAAAGAGAGCCCCCCCCCAGTGGCAGGGGGAGAGAGATCAAACCTTCTTCCAGCAGCTTCTCCTTTCAAATGATACACCTCCCTCACTTTGGTCCGAGGATGCTCTCCCTCAGTTCCTCTGTCACCTTCACTCCCTCACACACAGACAGAGATCAGCCCTCCATACAGATTGCAACACACACTCAGGGATGGATGGGTTCTTGTCTGACACTAAAAGAGCTCTCACTGTAAAATTGTTATTTTTTGAGCACCTCTTTTGGATTATTAACCTACGATCTGCTTGTAATACTCTCCACCAGCCTACAGATTAACAAGCGGCGTGACAAGCACAATGTTGAGGACTCAATTAAAACTAATATGTCTGATCTTTGTAACAGTCAATTTCTTTTCATGATATTAAAAATATCATGAAAATAAATTGACTGTTAGGGTATTCCAAGTGAAAATACTTACATTCTGACTATTTGGTAATCACTGCTGAATATAACGTATGATGTGGATTATTATTATTAATTTATTTTTTGCACTTTTATTGTCATTACATAGTACAGGTACTACGAAACAAAATGGTTTCTCTGCATTTGACCCATCCTACTGTTAGGAGCAGTGGGCTGCCATTATGTACGGCGCCCGGGGAGCAGTGTAGGGAACGGTGCCTTGCTCAGGGACACCTCGGTAGCACTTGGTCTTTCCGGGACTTGAAGTGGTGACCTTCCAGTTGCCAAGCCAAGTCCATATGGACTTCGCCACCACCGCCCTATTAGGGGCACAAAGAGATTTAAATCTGAATTAAATAATTGTATTCATCTGACAGAATCATCTGTTTCATCAGACTAAATGTCCTACTAAACTGTTTGTAGCCTTAACTTTCTGTAACTTATTTATTATAGTGAAATCCAAGATTTTTGTATTTGTATCAGTGAACGTATCGATTACATTACCTGAAACTGAATGCAGACATGTTGACTTATCCATAAAACCTTGTTACAGAAATTAGACAGTAACTGACCTGCTACAGTACAACTAAGATAGAAATCTAATAATAGATGGGCTTGTATTCCAATCGCTTGTGGGTCAGGAGTAAGTGAAGAAGCTCAGCTGACGAATCTCAAGAATCTCTCTTCAGGAAATAGGTCAACATTAATCCCAGATCTGTGCAACCATTTTTGGCAGTAAATTGAGGTCAGAAAATTCCATTGGAAAATATGAACAGTGTCGTTAAACCTTGTCCTGTATGTTGTACCTCTCTATGGTTTTTTTTCTTCAGGTGGGAGACTAAGCTGCTTTTGCTCCAGCAGCTTCCCAAAAGCCAGAGGCAGGCAGATGGGTCTGTGTTGGCTTGCATGCAACTAATAAACATGTGATTTGGCTTTTGTATGTGTAACTAATGTTAAGCCATCATTAAAATCCATTATTCTTGGTGGAGGGTTTTTTTTTAAGTGGATTTTATTTGCTCCCTTATTCTCTTGACCAAAATGTTGGAAATGCGTGCAAAACTCAGTCACCCTCAGGCACTGCAATTGAAACTGTAATTTAAAAGAGTGACCGTTAAAACAGGGCTATGAACTGTGGAGATAAATACAAAATAATAAAAGCTGAGATGAGTAACAAGCTTTGGGTCTGCCTCCCCTGTCTGGCATCTCCAGGGAACTCTTGCAGAGCAACAGATGGTAAACTCTGAATGACTCAGACACTGCGCCTCATGCGTGGTCCTCTACTGCCACCTGCTGGCCACACTATGAACAATACATTTAGAAACACAAAGGATCCAAACATCAATGACTAAAAAGATAACAAAAACGTTACATCACTGCTAAAATAGATAAGTAACTACCAAGACATAAACTGACATGACAAAAATTAAAGCAAATAAGTACTGAAAATTAAACATATGTAAATATATAAAATAATATGACAATAAAATATCCTGAATCTTGAAGTACAAAAATCAAATTATAAGAAAAATAATCAAGAAAAAAACTAACATAAAATAAGCAAATCAATGAATACATTAAAATAAAATGTTAACCTTCCTCTCTCTTCAGTTCTTTAGACATATCCAATTGTGGGGGGAAATGCATAAAAGGATCCCAGATAAAGTTAAAGGCCTCTTGCATTTCTTTAAGAGTGTAATTACATTTTATCCAAAGAGATAATAGTATTTTTTTTCTGTGTGTGCTGTCTTTTTTCTGTGTGTGCTTGTAAATGCAAAAAAAATAAAAATACAAAGAATATAAATAAAGTTTCCTTAATTGCCATCATGTGAAATGCGTAATGAAAACTCATGTTATGAAGCACCCCTCCAACAGGTTCAGTTAATGACTCAATTTAGATAAATAATTGAAGTTTGGGCACCCGTTGTGAGTGATGATGAAGAGATCCCCACACAGACTCTAATGATAAACACATGTGAGTCTTCCCACTATCTGGGCCAATTATAGACAGCAGACACTAAACAATCTATCAGAGCCCTATAGAAAAATGACCCCCCTGATACAAAAGGAGGATGAAAAATGATGTGGAACGTGTAGAGGTGTGAGCAGATGGATTATGAACTATAAATGTATAACAAATGAACCGAGCAGGGGGCCCAGGACTGCCAGACCCGCTCAATCCATCACCGCTCTAACAAGACAGTGGGCAGCGTGGTGTCGTCTGCAGGAGAAAGAGTCCACTCAGAGAGACACACATGTCCACACAAAAAGAGACCGTGTGCAGAGACTGTGGGCTGTTTGTTGATTAATCATGAACCAGCTTTCTTATGTGTTTTTTCTCTCTGTCTCATATCTCTCTTCTTTTTATTTCTGTCTCTCCTGTCCTCTCAGCCTGGTCTCCTTACAATTGTGTTGGAATTTTCACACCTTTTTAATCAAAGTCCACGCAAGTCAGAAAGATGAGGTAGATGGATGTGTCAGACAAACATTAGACATCTGATCAGGAGACCACTGTCTGACAAAATGTCATTGTTGACTTTTTAGAGTTATGTAGCATTTGTCTTTCTTTTACCCAAATATATAGTGTGTTACTGAATCTTACCAAGTAGTTGTAATCCTTTACATGTTTAAAACTGCAATGGAGAAAACATGTAATTTGGAATGCTTTTTTGTTGTATGGCAAGGTCATTTCAATGAGAAAGGTTTGGTCCTCTTAGTAGCCACATATTTGGTACAGATAGACTATGGTTCCAAGCACTGGCAGCTGGTTAATATTTTGGGTTAAAAGTGAAACGTCTTGAACTGATTTCAGGAAAATTCAGCCCAGACTTGCTTCACAGGATGGAATGTAATAGTTTGGTGGTCCGACATCCTTGCTTCTAGTGTCACCTACAGGTCAAAATGTTGTTGGTTTGTTAAAAAATACCGTCAAACAGATCCGCATTAGCCGGTTTAGTACTGATGTGCATTCAGGGAAACCTTAGCATGCTAATGCTAATGTGAGATGTAAACATTATAAACATTACCTGCATATAATAATAGCATGTTAACATGTAACTGGGAGCATGTTAGCTTCCCGACAGCTGATAAGGATCAAAATCAAACATACCTAATTTTAATTCATTTTACAGTGTTTATTTTCTCTTCTCTTTACAACTAGCATACAACCTCACAGCTTTGCTAGCATGAGTAAGACATGTAGCCTAATTTAGAGGAGATCTATTTATCACATCAGGTGGTGGGGGTGCTAACATAACATACACTAGTCAGTGAGTGTAAACCCATCCTGTGTGTATGAGAGACACTATTCATCTCTACTGCGACAATTGTATGAGATGCACTCATTTGATTTCTTTCTTCCATCCAGAGAGACAACTTTTTTTTCAAAGTCTATGAATGTAACATTTTTGTATAGGTTGTCTCATAGCAGCTCAAAATTAAGGCCAACGCTATGTACACTTCAAGCTATAGCTAGCTAAAGTTACATTCTGGTTGTTTTGTCTGCACGTGCAGTGTAGTATTTTTGTGACAGAAGAACATGAGGGTACTTTGCTAGCCGCATATCATATGGCCTCATGTGAACCCAGAAGACAAAATAAAAAGCAAAAAAGCCAATATGAGACCATGAAGAGTCACCATGTGTTCTTGTTTTAACTGCAGGTAAGTATGTGCCTTGATAGTTTAATAATAATAATATTAACATTAGGGTATTCATCACCAGAATGTGGATTTTCTCATGGAAGAACGACAAATATTACAGAACCATGCACTTCCTGTATTTAGACGTTGGCTCAAATATCATCCGGAGTGATGAACTAATGAAAGCTAATATTTTACTGGAACCTGAATGAGGCGTCCATCTTGTTCTGTTTACCTTCCCTCACTTCCCTCACCTCCCTCTCTTAACTCACCTCTCATCCTAATCCCCCCCCCCCCCCCCCTGCAGAGAGACTCTCCTTGCTCTGTTTAACTCACTGTCCAAACACAGACCATGGATCGTCCCCCTGCAGCCACTCACAGGACCTCACCCTCCAGCTTGGGGGCGGGGCGGGGCGGGGGGCGGGGGTAGCCGTGTCCAATAAACACATTGTGAGTGCAGGCTGTGCTGTCAGAGTCCAGCGAGTCACAAAGAGCCAACAGCATGTGTACTGGCCGCAGTGAAACCATGGGGGGGGGGGCGTTGTCAGGGCCGGAGACTCTCTGTAGGGCCAGGGGACACAGAGCGAGTGGGACAGAGATGGAGGGAGGACGAGAAAGGGTGATGGTGATTTAGAGGACACCACACGCCCTCCTCACCCCTCTCTTTCTGTCTTTCTATAGTATAGTATCATACCAATACCTACATTTTTCAATTGTAACATCACAGACAAGTGTTTTGATTTATCCTGAGGGAGAAGCCATCCGGGACATCATTAAGTACAATATAAAGCCAATATACAAATATTAATATATATTATATATTAACTGTTGCAGCAAACAAGTCGTGCAAATGTCCTCTTGAAAACATAACCATTCTGTGTTAACATTTATTCATTAAAAAAAAGGGAAAACTCGATGCTTGGATGCCATGAGAAGGTAAGGGAACAGTGAATTATATGACAGTATTCCCCCTGGTTTTTACGAATAAATCAAGTTACTATACAACAAAACTGCCTTATAAATGGTGTTTTTAGGGAAATGTATTTTGCCCAGGATTATGTTTGTACAGTTCTATCTCAAGTCCTGTTTGACTCTGAAAGTTAATGTTGACAGATTTGGATTGATGTGTTTTCCATTGCTTGAATTATGCAATGAACATTGTCATTTGAACCCAAACACCATGAACCTTTTTCTAAATCAAACCAAGTAATTTTGTTGTGGTCTTGCTTTGTTGTTTTAACTTACTATGTTTTCCACATGATTAAAACTGCATATGTAATACCGGAGCAACTATATTTACCTGGAAACTTAATTAAGAATTCAGTTTAGTTGTATAATAAGGTCATTTTCTAGAAAACAGGTGGCTTATATCAAATAATAAAGTAGCAAAATGATAGGAGCCCCTGTTTACAGAGTATCCAACATTACACATCTCACATGATTTCACAATTCTACTGCTTTAAAGGACCAGATGTGTAAAAAGTCTTGTTCCTTGATGAAAAGTCCCAAGTACAAGAATAACTCAAAGTGCATTTTGCCCAGAAACACCCAACACAGAGCTCAAAATGATGTGCAACTTACACTGGGTGGAAGCTAATCTGAGCCTCTTCTTTCAAATTGATACTCTAAAATAACAATGCTTGCTTTTAAACTTTTGTGTGCTAAAGAAAAACGATGCAACTCAATTCGGAGTCTCATGGTCAATAAATGACATTTGGGCAATGGATTGGGCTAAATGTAAATCAGACACATGCTCAAGTTTATGCAGCCTGCATGCACTGTCCCTCGTGCACAGGTCCATGCACGTGCACTTCCCTCCCTCTCAGCCTCCTCCTGGATCCGCCTTTATGAGGAGAGCAGTGTGAAACTGACACAGCCATTATCTCACCCCCCCTCCACCCAGCTCTCACACAACAGGGACAGGAGTCTGATCAGCTTTGTCAAAGATTCTGCTCTAAGGTCACTGTTTGGTTGTGAAGTCATGCAAACACCAGCATGACATCATAGCGGAACTGGTCTCGGATCAGTGGAAAGGCATGCCGAGTTTTTGTGAATTTGACCTCTAGATTCTAACCCTTTCTTGCCAGTTTCTTTTTCTTTCACTGTTCTTATTTATAGATTCTTTATAATAAAAGCCCTTGATCTTTCTGTCTCCATTATTACCCCGTCCTCCCTCCATTCAGCAGTGACCTCCTATAGGTGAAAGAGCCATTCTTTGTGCTTATGTGAAAATGGAGCCTCAGGTTTCATTATTTTTAATGTTCTGCTACTTATATTTGTGTCTGGGGTCAACCATCTTCCTTAGACAATTGCAGCCGAGTGGAACCCCCCCGCCTGCGGTGGTGTCACCTCCCAAGGCTCCGGTGTTATAACTCTGCAGAGGGCCTTGCTTTGCTGCATCACCTTCATTAACTTGGCACTGGAAGCTTCTCTGTCATCCCTGGCTCCATGACTCGCCTCTCCACTCCGGCTTAGCTTCCCCAAGTTTATTTCTCCACTTATCTACAGCGAGGACAGAGGGAGGCAGAGACAGAGGGAGAGAAAGGGGAGATACTTGGAGCTCGGGCTGTGTTTTTTAATCTGTTATTCTCCTGTATTGGCACGGGCGTCTCCAGTGTGGGGATTAAGAATCCAGACAGAGTGATGGAGCTCAGCGCTGACCCCGGGGGCGCTGAGGACTGGAGGAGGAGAGGGGAGAAACAAAATAAATCATCTCTGTGGAATGAAAGAGAGAAAGACGGTAGACGCAACGAGCCGCATGGAGGATTGTGTGTGTGTCTGTGTGTGTTTGTGTGTGTGTGTGTGTGTGTGTGTGTCCGCCTATGTTTGTGTGTGTTTGTGTTTGTGTGTGTGTGTGTTTGTGCAGATGTGTGTGTGTGTGTGTGTGTGTGTAGGTGTGTGTGTGTTTGTGTTTGTCTATGTTTGTGTGTGTGTGTGTGTGTGTGTGTGTGTGTGTGTGTGTGTGTGTGCGTGCGTGTTTGTGCGTACCAGAGAAATAACCTGTACAGAGGAGAGAGTGAGGTGCTGGCAGTGTAATGGTCTTAATTAGGTAAAGGGAGCGGTCTAACTCCTGAAACAAGATGCTACTTTATACTTTTACATTACATTACATGTCACTTGTTAGACGCTTTTATCCAAAGCGACTTACATACTCAATACTGTGGACAATCCCCACAGGAGCAATTTGGGGTGAAGTGTCTCAGGGACACAACGACATGCTGACTGCAGTGGGGTTTGAACCTGTGCTCCCCTGATCCGAACACCGACACTCAACCCACTGCACCACACGCCTCCCCATACTTCTACTCTACTACACTTTGGAGGCCAATTTGGTACGTTTTACTGCATTTGTTTAACAGATTTGTTTACTAGTTAATCTATAAATTCAGATCAATAACTTGACATATTATTATTTGGTATTGATTGAACCATCCAACATTATAATTATGTAAGTAACTAAAACTGTGTGAGGGTTAACAGAAAATAAAGTGGCAGCAATGTTATTTAAAGTTTTTGTTTCAAAAATATTTCACAGTTCCAGCTTCTCAAATGTGAAGATTTGCTATTAGTACTTGTAATCAAGAATCTTAACACTTTGTCCACCACTGTTACAACCTGTTGATAAGCAGCTGAGGGGTTACCACTGTGCTGCTTTCACTCCTCATTTCCACATGGATGAATTCATCAGATGAATAAACCAGATCAAGATTTCATGCAGTCAGGCCCATCAGTGCAGAGGCAAAGCTATCTTCTCCAGCGTTGTGTTTTGCAGCAACAGAGAGGCTACAGTGTCCCGCGGTTTTTAATTGGTTTCGTATGCATTTTTATATGACCCAGGAAGAGAAAGATCATGTGTGCGCTTGTTGTTTCAGGTGTGATTTATTGTTGAAGCGTGTAAACATCAGTCAGATACATTTCCCCTCGACCTGTGTTAGCTTCAACAAAATGAAACAAGACGATAAGCTACAATGTGGCAGGAATTTAAGAATACAATTATTAACAAAGAAAGAAAGTTATGATGGTGACTCACTCTGAAAGGTTTGATTTTCTCACCCCTTCACGCCCGCTGTTCACCCTGCCTTCAGTGAGGCCGTTTTTAGAACAGCTATACACAAGGTCGGACAACTCTGTACAAACCAGCCAGCTCAGCCAAAAAACGGTTATATCATATATAAATTACTGTATACATATCGCTTCATCCAGGCTCTACAACTCAAAGCGCTTTTACATATACAGCATTCACCCAAAACAAGAGGCAAGAGGTGCCATGCTTGGGGTTACGTTTCTGGTCCAGGGATACACCAACATGTTTTACTGCAGGGGGTCGGATGGAATCCAAAACCTCCTGAAGACGGCTGCACATCGTGACCCTGCCAATCACTCTGAGTTGATCAATGATTCCTCAGAAGAGTCTATGACCATCGCTTCATTATTTTGTCCCTGGTTTGAATATCTGTTAAAAAGTAATATGCCTTTTTCTTATTGGCCACTCCCACTGCAACTACTCCTGTTTGCCAATTGACATGAACACAAATGCACAGACACACACACACTCACTGAAATCAAGTGTGTACCTAACCTCCATGTCTAATTTCAGCCTCCTGACGCTACCAAAGAGCTGGGGAATCTTTTTGAGGACTGACCGACTGACAGTGATCTCTGGAGCTGCTGGTCGCTGCTAAAATTCATTATAAATCCACGTAGCATGCAGCTGCAGGTACTGGATTATAATCCATGAAGCTGCTTTGAGTCTGAAGGCCCATTTGACACTGTTCAGTGGGAGGAAGAATTGTATAACTCTTCAAAGTTATCAGTGTAGTAGATATTTAACTTTCCGTTATAAAAAAGTTCCGAACTAATTGGAGAAATTACAGAAGTTGCCAAAAGTCTAATTTTTACATGTTTTTATTGCTCAACCCAGTGCCATGCTTGATGTTGTTAAATGTTTCTGTGCCAACAAAGTGGCTTCATTCAAATAGGGCTACAGTGTACTTGCTATGGAGGAATTGTTTCACAGGTACAGAACAATAATAACGTTCCGTACAGTAACTCTTCCCAGTCACGTTTTCATCAAAAACTTCGCAAACTTAGCCTTTTTCATTTTGGGGTTGTTTCCAATGAGGTTTCTGCACGCAAATGTTCATGAAAAACGGTAGCCGCATACAAAATGTAAAATAATGATCCTGTGCTACATCTGAAGTTTCCACTGTAGACTGGCATATGTGTTGCTGTGTTTGTGTGGCACTTTCTTTTACACTTGAAGGAGATTAACATATTTTTCTCTTCTGCTGGGTGCCCTGCTGAGAGGTGGGAGTTGTTCGCGCTGGGTTCTCTGTGATCCGCCTGCAACCCCGAGGATGCTGGTTCCATCTTCTCTGCATATGATTCACAGGTATCTCTACAGCTATAATTCCAGATATTCATGTGTTTTTCTCATCGAAAATGGAATACTGCTTCTAAATCCATACCAATAGGAACAAAAAATAAATAGCTTTAAATATCAAATACCCCAAACTCTTGATGTGTGTTGAGCCCCTCATTGTGTTTTTGTTGACCTCACAGTTTGCCCCCCCCCCCCTGGTCGCTGCACTCTGACTTCTTCCGTGTTTAGTTTCTCTGCATTTCCTTCCCGGCTCTTTATTTGTCAGGATTGCTTCCTGGCTCAAGGTCACTCCTCCTCATTCACCTCCTCTCCTGGAGGTATCGATGCCAGCAGAGCCACGGTTCTTGGATGCTAAAGCTAAATCGATATCCCTGAGCGCTCAGTGCTTGTGCTCTAATATCCTCCAAACACCACCTGGCAAAAATATTGATGCTGTATTCATGGGAGATGCTTAGAGAGACTCACAGAAGAACAAGGAAAGACACAGCCCGCTATGATCTGAAATAGAACACTGCAGCTCTTTTGATTGATAGTTTATGGCGATTCTTATTAAATGTTGCAGAGTCAGTACAGTGAACAGCTCAACCTTTTCCGTCTTAGCACATATTTGGGGAATGTTATTGATGTGCTGTGCATGGGTGCTTCTGGGGGGTGCAGTGGTGGCCAGTGTACCTGTAACAATGAGTTTTGACCCCCGTTTGGCCCCCCTTAAAAGAGGAGTTTATAATGACAATACAGAGTAATTAGCCGAAGTGAACTGGAAAGCCTTTTGTTTTTCATAATGTCATTTAATAACATAACAGACAAATTATATTACCAAACAAAAACCCCACCAATGATTGAGCTCTTGGTCCTTTTGGTTTTGTGCGCTATGACTTTATATAAAACTAACAATGTTAAATGTTGAACATGTCTTTGTCTCTTTTGTCCTACATTAAATGTGCCCCTCTCATACACTGAAACAACTTCAATGTTGACTAATGAAATGTGTTATGCTAACAAAATACACATAACTGTATTAGGTAAGGTGAAAGCAATAATATTAAGTTGAAGCTAATATTTTTTATCTAAACTTAATATTATTTTGTTCAACTAACCTATTACCAAGTCGTTTTACACATAAGAGGAATTTGCTTTGGCATAAATGGTGCATACAGAGACACAGAAAGAAGAATACATGCAAAAATACCACGATTATAAAAGCTATTTTAAAAAACTATTCGAAGACTATTGTGACAATTAAAAATAATGACCATATTTACACAAAATATAATTTTGTGAGTGACTGAGTACAGTCAAATATAATAAAATATGACAAATACTATATTCAAGTGGAGAGCTGTGCAGATTTAAAAATAGGTAGTGTGGAAGCAGAAATGTGCAAAATGTTGTGCAGGATTTTACAATATTATGTGTGAATTGCCTCCTTTGGAACGGGGTCTTTGCCCCCAATCAGCTGTTTCTCTGATAGTTGTATTCACCTAACAGAGACACAGAGAGGGAAACGCTGCAGGAGGAGAGCTCCAGCATCATTCAAGGAAACAGCCTTTTCTTCCATAAGCAGGTTCTCCACCTCTCCACACAGAGCGCGGTGGAAGGAGGGCGTCTGGCCAGATGGGCTCCCAGAACAAATACAGCCGTGTTAATCTCTACTTGTCTTTCTGCCCCTGAGGCGAGTGTGTCTGACAGCTGTGTGTTTGTACGAGGCGTATTGATGGTTTGACCTCTCGACTTGATACACTTCTCTGTACTTCATCCTCCTGGACAAACAAAAGCGTAAGTATTAGACTTTGGTATTCTGCAGGCGCACGTCCCATTGTTGCCCCTGTCACAGCGCGGTGGGAGGTATGGAGGCCGGGGGGGTGCCGGGGGGGGGCAGTCCTCGCTGGTTAACATGCAAATGAACGGTTCTCTGGGCTTGAAAGGGTCACTAAGGTCAAACTGTGTGATAAATCAGTGTCAGATTAATGCGCCATCAGTGTGTGTGTGGGTGTGTGTGTGGGTGTGTGTGGGTGGATGGTCAGCAGTGCAGCTGGACTCTTTCCCTTGAGCTACAATGTAAAAAAAAACACCTATTTTTCTACCAACATTAGCACATAATAGTCATTTATTTAGGTAATTGCCAGTAGAGTAGTTGGTGCTTGTTGGAACAGAGGTAAAACAAAGACACTTTTAATGACTTTGAACATATCTTGTTTCTGTTCAGTTTGAACAGTGGTGGAAAAGTATTCAAATTCTTTACTCGAGTGAAATTACTAAAAACCACACCTTAAAATACTACATTTCATGTAAAAGTACTGCTTTGAGAATGGTACTTAAATTAAAGTTAATAAACATGATTAGGAAAATGTACTTTGGAGTAAAACTGCCCATTGCGGAAAAAAACTATTTTAAAGCAAAAGCAGCAAATATTCACATAGCTTGAACTGTAAATATTTTTTAACACACATTGTCTTAATTCTAACACATTTTCTGTCACTCATTGTTTGAGTTACTTAATCAATCAATCAATGTTTATTTATATAGCCCAGTATCACAAATGTTACATTTGTCTCAGTGGGCTTCACAGTTTGTACAGAATATCAGTATGACAATACGACACCCTCTGTCCTTAGACCCTCACATCGTACAAGGAAAAACTTCCGGAGAAAACCCACAGTTTAAAGGGGAAAATGGGAGAAACTTCAGGGAGAGCAACAGAGGAGGGATCCCTTTCCCAGGACGGACAGACGTGCAATAGATGCCATGTGTAAATTGAAAAGATAATACATTTACAACATAGGTAGACCAAATGTTTGGAAATGCATGTGTCTATAATAAGATGAATCCACGAGGATATCCATCCAGGACTTATGATCCAGGACCACAGCAGTAGGCACAGCCATGACTCAAGATCCAGTGCTCAGGATCCAGGACTCAGGACCACAGCAACAGGATCAGCCACGACTCAGGATCCCGGCGTAGATAGACACCAAAAAGAAATTTGGGGAAGCTGGGTTATTGGGAACATGAGAGTACACAGGTACAGACAGAGAGAAGGAAGAAGTAAGGTGTCCCCCGACAGTCCAAGCCTATAGCAGCAAAACTAGGGGCTGAATCTAATCAGCCCTAACTATAAGCTTTATCAAAAAGGAAGGTCTTAAGCGCCCTCTTAAAAACGGATAGGGTGTCTGCTGCCCGAACACAAACTGGAAGCTGATTCCACAAAAGTGGAGCTCGATAAGAAAAGGCTCTGGCTCCCATTGCACTTTTAGAGACTCTAGGAACAACCAACAACCCTGCATTCTTGGAACGCAATGCCCTAGTAGGACAGTAGGGTATAATGAGTTCTTTAAGGTAAGATGGCGCCTGCCCATTAAGGGCTTTGTAGGCGAGGAGAAGAATTTTAAATTCTATCCTGTGTTCTATAGGGAGCCAGTGTAAGGCAGCCAGAACAGGAGTAATGTGGTCCCTTTTCCGAACTCTAGTTAGTACACGTGCTGCAGCATTTTGAATCAGCTGAAGCGACTTAACTGACTTCTTGGTACACCCTGATAATAAAGAGTTACAATAATCCAGCCTTGAAGTAACAAATGCATGGACTAGTTTCTCTGCATCGTTTTGAGGCAAGATATGCCTGATTTTTGCAATGTCACGTAGATGGAAGTAGGCGGTCCTTGAAATTGATTTTATGTGGGCGTTAAAGGATAAATCCTGATCAAATATAACACCAAGATTCCTTACAGTCTCACTGGAGGCCAAATGAATGCCATCCATAGTTAGTAAATCTTTAGATAATTTGTTTCGTAGATTATTTGGGCCGAGTACAATAACTTCAGTTTTGGCCGTGTTTAACATCAAAAAGTTTAAAGTCATCCATGTTTTTAAGTCTTTGAGGGAGTCTTGAATTTTATTTAGATGATTAATTTCATCAGGCTTGATTGATAAATATAGTTGAGTATCATCCGCATAACAATGAAAATGTACAGAATGATTCCTTATAATATTGCCTAACGGAAGCATATATAATGTGAACAAAATAGGTCCAAGCACTGAGCCCTGTGGCACTCCATGGCTAACTTTGGTCTGCATGGAAGATTCATCGTTGACACATACAAACTGAGAGCGTTCAGATAGATAGGACCTAAACCAGCCTAAAGCAGTTCCCTTTATGCCAACTAAGTTCTCTAGTCTTTGCAATAGGATGTCATGGTCGATAGTATCAAATGCAGCACTGAGATCGAGCAAGACAAGAATAGAGACAAGTCCTTTGTCTGAGGCTATTAGAAGGTCATTTGTGACTTTAACCAGAGCTGTCTCTGTGCTATGATGTGTTCTAAAGCCAGACTGAAAATCTTCAAATAAATCATTGTTTTTTAAGTAATCACACAACTGTTTTGCGACTGCTTTCTCAAGAATCTTTGAGAGGAACGGAAGATTAGAAATAGGTCTATAGTTGGCTAAAACCTTTGGATCGAGGTTGTGCTTTTTAAGAAGCGGTTTTATCACTGCTACTTTGAATGATTGTGGAACATAGCCTGATAATAAAGACATATTCATAATATTTAATAAAGAAGTGCTAACTAATGGAAAAACCTCCTTTAACAGCTTAGTTGGAATCGGGTCTAAGATACACGTTGATGGTTTAGAAGAAAGAATCATTGAATTCAAGTGTTCAAGGTTTATGGCTGAAAAGCATTCTAATTTACTATCTAGTGTAATATTAGAACTTACGTTTCCGGGAGCTGTTGATAACAATATACTGGTCAAAGGCAAGAGGTCATTAATTTTGTTTCTAAGAGTAACAATTGTATCATTAAAAAAGCACATAAAATCATTACTACTGAGTGCTATGGGAATAGAAGGCTCAATAGAGCTGTGGCTCTCTGTCAGCCTGGCTACAGTGCTAAAAAGAAATCTTGCATTATTCTTATTCTCGTCTATTAATGAAGAGTAGTAAGCTGCTCTCGCTTTACGCAGTGCTTTCTTATATTCATTGAGAGTAATATGCCAAGTTAAACAAGATTCTTCAAGTTTAGTGGAACGCCATATCCTTTAGCCATTTATTTAAATATAATTTTGGATGGATTAATTTATAGTTTTTTTAGTGTAGTTCCTAAGTATTGTGTGTCAAATATCTGAGTTTATGAAGTAAGTAAATAAATAGAAAATACATTTAGTGCAGTAAAAAGTAAAATATGGCTTCCAAAATGTAATACAGTAGAAGAATAAAGTAATATAAAATGAAAATACTCTGATAAAGTACCTCAAATGTGTACTTAGGTACAGTACTCACTTACTTTCCAACACTGATTTTGAATGTATTGCGTTTAACGAGATGAGTGAGGTAAAATTACTTTGTGTTAATGGAGTCTGGTGATCATATCAAATATATGTTTTGTATATTAATAAATTATATTAAAAATGTCCAAATCCCAAAGTAACATGTCAACCCTTGTGTTGTGTTTCATCCCTGCTGATCGGAGCTGGAGCTGATAAATACCGAGGCCGATGCAGAGGCTTTTGTCCCGGGAAAGAATGCAGATTGTCACTTTTCACACTGGAGACAAAAGCCTGATGTTAGTGGGTGGGTGGGTTTTTGTCCGGTGGGTAGGGGGCTTCAGTGGCTGCTATGCTGCCTTGTAACCCTGTAAACATGTCTGTTGTACATCAATCAAGCTCTATGAAATAATTGAAACAGACAGACAGGGGACAGGGACAGACAGCCAATGGGGAGCCAGGGAACAAACGCTGATGGTGATGGCCGGCCTGACGGTGTGGGTGTGTTTGGGGACGATCAATTTTGTATGATATCTTTTTTTATTTTATTGATATGCTCCCTCGGGAGGTAAATGCCATCATGGGCTGCACTATAGATGTCTGCTTTGAGGACGATTGATTGGTCTGGCATTTGATCTTCTGAGCTCATGGTGAAGGATGGGGAGATGGAATCACGGGAGCACCCATGGCCGCCCCCCCACCCCCACCACCACTCAGTCCCCCACCCATGTCACCCTTTTTGCTCCTTCCATCATTTATCTGTCCCTTCTGCTGCCATACATCCCTCACTGTCTTGTTTCCCACAGAAGTGCCTCTTAAAACCCGGGGAGGTGTGCTTTTAAAGATTTTAAAGGTTTTACCCAGGGTTCTGTTGTGCTAAAAGCCGTATTAATGACTGTCAGAGGTGATGATTCCTGTCTAATAATGAAACGTTAAAGTAATGCAGCTACCAGCCTTTAATTAGCTAAGTAATCTTAGGAGCACACTGCTCTTTCTTTTATTCCCATTTTCAGTCTGAGCTATTTAATTAACAGCCGAACACATGTGTAACGCTCATTTAACGATGCACAAGACACACACGCAATAAAGGGACCAGAAGGAAGGACAGACACGGAGAGTATAAATCAATTGCATATTTAATTTTACTCGTTAAATAAAGCACTTGATTCATATGAAATCTATATTCTCTTAAATGGGTGATGAATTAAAAAGGCGCAAGCGTCGCCATGTGGCGTGTGAGAATAAAAGACTCCACTGCAAAAGGACAGGGAGAATATGAGAGCTGTAATTGGATATCTGGGAATTAATTTGTCTGGCGAACATACTATGAATCACATCAGGTCATAAAACCCAGATGGAGCAGAGAGGGAGGACTGGCACAAGGTGGTGGAGATGATATTTAACATTTCATATCTTTCACAAGTCTGCACTGCCACCATGTGGGGAGAAAAGAGTCAAACTGTGGGACAGCTGGATTTATTTAGACATGCTTATACATGCAATGTTGTATGAAGTAATTAGGTATCTATGGAGGCCTGTGGTGCAGTGGGTTGTGCGTTTGTGTTCGGATCAGGGGGTCACAGGTTCAAACCCCACTGCAATCAGCATGTCGTTGTGTCCCTGAGACACTTCACCCCAAATTGCTCCTGTGGGGATTGCCCACAGTATTGAGTATGTAAGTCGCTTTGGATAAAAGCGTCTAACAAGTGACATGTAATGACATGTAATGTAATGTAATGTATCTTAATAAAGTAAAAGTAGCAATACTACAGTGTAAAAATACTCTGTTACAAGTCCTGCATTTCAAATACTTCTTACTTAAAGTGGACCTATCATGCTATATTTGAATAATATAGTGTAGGACCATACCTATATAAGACATATTTATACTTTTTTTTTTTCAAAATACCAAACAGATCATGCATTTTAGCCATGCCTCATTTTGCTCAATTTGACCATTTCTAGCTCTGGGCAGATTCAGTGAGAACAGCACCATCTACTGGCCTGGCATATGTACTACAGCGTCTCCAGCACTTTCTAACGGCAATGGCCGTGGCTGTCTCCTCCTGATTGGTGGAGTTGGCCCAATAGCCGTAGCACCACTGTCCTGACGTCAGGACAGTGTTCAAATCTGGATCAGTTTTTATCAGATCCGTTGCAGCCCCTTTTTTAGAGATTTGGGTATGGAGGAAAATAGAGAGGGTTGTGTTTTCTGACACTTGGTGAGTTCCCTGGAACACCGGGGACACATATTCATGTATAAAAGACGTACAAAAGTGCATTTTGCATGATAGGTCCCCTTTAAGTAAAAGTACAAAAGTATTAGCATCAACAAAAGAATGTAAGTACGAACAGTAAAAGTCCTTTCTGTGCTAAATGTCCCATTGTAGAATACATCATAGATGGTTCAACTTAGTATTATTGCTTTTGAAAGTTGACATAACACACTTGTCAACGTTTCAGCAGGATATCTTAACCTATAATTATATGTCATAGTTTATTTATTAGTTCATTTATATTTTTGTTTTAGCTAATCTGAATCTGTGAAGTTAGTAACTCATTTTGTCAAAAGGTTGTAGTGAAAAAAGTACAGTATTTGGCTGCCAAATTGTAGTGGAGTAGAAGTTTAAAGTAGCATAAAAAGTAAAAAAAGTACCCCAAAATCGTACTTGAGTAAATATACTTCACTACATGACACCACTGGCTACACTTGAGCTTCCCAAAGAGTGCCACCATTCAAATAAAAATGGCTTTTCAAACTATTAATCAAAGCTGGATGAATATTAGAACTGATCTGGTCCCCATAGGGAAACATGTGGAGAATAACTACTGTGGGAAGAAGGCTAACCACTCTGAACCGTGAAACCTGAGAACCACTTGGACGTGACTATTGATGAAACTCTATTTCCTCCTGAGACTCAGTGTGAAAGAATGCAGAGTGGGAGCGAGGCCTGGAGTCACCTTATCACTGACACCTCCTATAACCAAATTTATGAAGACATTTCTTTGGCGCTTTCTACATAAATGTCAGTATTATAATCCTCAATAATCTCCACCAAGAGGGTGATGGAGGATGTATGTGACAGTTGGAACTGCACCTCTCCCTGTGGAGAGACACGTTTCCCCCTTAGAGCAGGAATGTTTCTGTATGTTTCAGCAGCCATGCATCAATGTGAAGGATGTAGCTGAAGCTAAAACAGGATCATGCTCATTAATTATGCTCCAATGGCCTATGTAATATTAGAAAAGCCTGGTGATAGAGATGTCTTTGCATTGACATTGTTTTAGCCTCCTCAGGGTCTCATTCCTCTGTCTGTTAGTTCCCAGTGTCTCACACGTTTATGTAATGACATGTCTGTAGTGAAAACAGGAACACTGCATGACAACAGCATGTTTGTGTCTTATTGAGCTGTCACTAATTTACAAAACAGGGTTTTTGGGGTGAACATTTAAAAAGTGCACTTGTTCTTTACCTTGGTTTGTTTCTTTATTAAATGCGTGAGTTTTTCATTACAGCAAAGGCTTGAAGAAAGCCTTTCCGAGCAGTAAAAGCAAGAAGAGAAAGTTGAATTCCTACAGTCATTGTAATACTAGTGTTAATTACAAATACTACTGCTACTATCTACCTGAATCTGTACTTTTGTAAAAAGTTCACTCAAATTGTTATTTTAAATATTATGTGCATGCCTTTTATCTAATAATGTTGTATTATGTGTTGTCTCTATCTATACTTTGCTGTACCAATGTAAATTTCCCCTACTACTACTACTACTACTACTACTACTACTACTACTACTACTACTACTATTACTACTACTATAACTACTACTACTAATACATATTTATAATAATAATAATAATAATAATAATAATAATAATAATAAAAGTAACAATATTAATTAAAAAAATAACAATTATAATAAAAACAATAATATACTGTATTTTTTCTGTCATGTTATTTGTTTTTATTAAAAAGAATACTTTATTTTAATTTATTTCAGTTGTAATATCAAATAAATAAGTCAATAAATAACAAAATACTTTATTAAATTAAAAAAACGAATCAGCGGAACCTTTACTCAAGTACGGTTGTTTCAGCCGAATTCATTTAAGGGCTGACCAGGGGACTGAGCTGGATCGCTGCTGGAGGAAGCCGGAAGAAGGAAGTGAAGTTGGAGACGCGTGGCAGAAAGCTCAGAGAGAATCGGAAAATTCGGATACATACAGAAACGGTAGCATTGGACTGTTATTTTGGCGGATTTGCATAAACTGTACATTGACTGTTTCATCATGTCAACCAGCTCAGATGGTAGGCAAAGAAACAATATGGAATGGATGATATCCAAAGCTGCGAAGAAGAAAATATCTTTGAGAGAAAGAGATAGTTCAGTAAGAGCTCGAAGTTGGTCGGATTGGTCGGGTGAAGCAGACAAGGCTAATCAAAGCAAAAAATCAAGAGTCAGTCAAAATGACAGTCAAGCAATGTTGAATAAAGAACTAGAACACGAGTGGAAAGTTGTAATATAATTCAATCAGGATGGTGGGCATTACCACCCGATTAAACTTACCAAAGCAATTGAAAAAGAGATTGGAAAAATTAAATTTGCTAAATTCATGAACAATAAGCGGGTATTGATACATGCCAATAACAAACAGCAGCAGGAAAAGATTCTGGGAATGAACTCACTGAATGGGGAGAAAATGAAGGCGCATGTTCCAGGAGCAATGGCAAAACTGAGAGGAGTAATCTCAGGAGTACCATTGGACATGTCAATGGAAGATGTTAAAAGTGAATTAAAAGGAGGCAAAATAGTGGAAGTCACAAGGCTTAAAAGCAAACGGGAAGGTACACTCAAAGAAACATTATCAGTTCTCATTCAGTTTGAGAGAACCTTACCTAAGGCAGTACAAATGGGATATTTGAACTTCATGGTTAGGGAGTACATCCCCAAACCTCTCAGGTGCTACGCATGTCAACGAATGGGGCACACAGCGCAGCAGTGTAACGGTGCGTCTACACAGCAGCGTTAAAAAAATCTTGAAACGCTTCTGCCCATTCACTTTGAATGGGGTGACGTCACTTTCCCTCACTTTTCGCCGAAATGGATTGTGGGCAGGCGAGCGGAGATTTTCAGGATTTTGAGGATTCAAAGTTGAACAATGTTCAACTTTTGAGGCTGAGGTGGAAGCGTCAGCCAATCAAATCCCGTGTACGCAAATCTGACAGTTCAAGCTCTAGCCAATCAAACGGCGTGTATGCTGGGAGAGACATACCGCAGGTCATTTCCTCATATTCCAAAAAATGGAGGAGAAATTAGCGGTAGCGAATCAATCACCCGGTGCTTTATGACCAGACCTACCGGGATATAAACCGGAGGAGCCAGGCATGGAGGGAGGTGGCAGAGACAGTGGTAGGTTTTCGCCTGTTTTGGGGAGTTTATATCCAGTTTACTTCGGGCTTTTTGGCTTCGTATGTTGCGGGCGGGAGATTCATGTGATTGGTTGCTCGCAAAAAATCCTCAAGCTTCAGATACGCCCACCTCCAAGATTTTTTTAACGCTGCTGTGTAGACGTACCGTAAAGGACAGCTAAGGTGTGAGCGATGCGGAGGAAAACATGAGTATGGAAAATGTGAAAAGGATGCAAAGGTTAAATGTTGTAACTGCGGAGGAGATCACAGTGCTGCGTTTGGAGGATGTGAAGTGCAGAGAGAGGCCAGAGAGGTGCAGAGAGTTAAGATTACAAACAAAGTCTCATACGCAGAACTGAAGCAATAAAGAAAGTAAGGGGAACAGTAACAATCAATAACGGTACGTCTACACAGCAGCGTTAAAAAAATCTTGGAGGTGGGCGTATCTGAAGCTTGAGGATTTTTTGCGAGCAACCAATCACATGAATCTCCCGCCCGCGACATACGAAGCAAAACAGCCCGAAGTAAACTGGATATAAACTCCCCAAAACAGGCGAAAACCTACCACTGTCTCTGCCACCTCCCTCCATGCCTGGCTCCTCCGGTTTATATCCCGGTAGGTCTGGTCATAAAGCACCGGGTGATTGATTCGCTACCGCTAATTTCTCCTCCATTTTTTGGAATATGAGGAAATGACCTGCGGTATGTCTCTCCCAGCATACACGCCGTTTGATTGGCTAGAGCTTGAACTGTCAGATTTGCGTACACGGGATTTGATTGGCTGACGCTTCCACCTCAGCCTCAAAAGTTGAACATTGTTCAACTTTGAATCCTCAAAATCCTCAAAATCTCCGCTCGCCTGCCCACAATCTATTTCGGCGAAAAGTGAGGGAAAGTGACGTCACCCCATTCAAAGTGAATGGGCAGAAGCGTTTCAAGATGTTTTTAACGCTGCTGTGTAGACGCACCGTAAGACCCCTAGTGGAATGGAGCAGAGCATTACAATACAAAATGTCAGGAACACACCAAAAAGTAATCTTCAAATCCAACCCCACAGCGCCACCAAGAGTAAAGAGGATGATGATGTTTTAGGAGTGAAAAAGGTGAATTTTGTGGTAAAAAAGAAAAGTGATAGAATCAAAGCCATTGTGGAGGCAGCTGGAAAATTCCTTGACATGAAAGATATTAAAGCAGATCAGATACATGCAATGCTAACTATAAATGGAGCTGGGGAAAATGAAAATCAGGATGAGGGTTAGATCCTTAATCATGGTGCTGCACATACAGTGGAACGCAAGAAGCCTCATAGCTAATGGTCAAGAATTCAAGAAATATATATATGATCTAGAGGTAGTCCCTGAGGTAATATGTGTGCAAGAAACCTGGTTACGACCTCAATTAGACTTTGTCATTCCAGGATTTAGCTGTATAAGGCATGATAGAGATAATAATCAAAATGGTGGAGGGTGTGCCACGTTTCTCAAAGATGGTGTGGCATATAGGGAGGTGCAATCTCCTGATGATATAGAGTGTATTATAGTGGAAATCTGCAACCCTAGGAAACAAGATAACATTAGGATAATCAATTTATACAACCCATGTAAAAATCTAACCACTGATATATTTAAAGAAATAGCAGGCAATAAACATAGGAAGGAAGTTTGGTGTGGTGATTTCAATGCACACAACAGTCTATGGGGCAGCAACCATACAGACAGTAACGGAAATATAGTGGAAGAAATGCTGGAGGAAAGAACACTAGTATGCCTTAATGATGGACATGGCACAAGAGTAGATGTACACAGGGGGAAAGTCTCATGCCTGGATCTGACATTAGTGTCAAACTGTTTGGTTCATACATGCGAATGGTTTGTTTTGAATAACTCCACAGTAGGAAGTGACCATTATCCAGTGCTTACTAAAATGAATACTAATGTATATATGCAGGAAAGAGGTGTAATAACCAGGTGGTGCTTTGCTAAAGCTGATTGGGGGAAATGTAGGATATGGTGTGAGGAGTCGGTACACCTGCTAACATCAGAGGGAAGCATAGAGGTCATTACAAGCCAAATAACGCAACATATACTAAATGCAGCAGAGAATAGTATACCCAAAACAACAACCAAGGGTAGGAAGAAAGTGGTGCCATGGTGGAATGAGGAATGCAGCAGGGCTATTAAAGAGCGAAATAATGCATTTAGAGAATTAAAGAAAAACATGACACAAAATAATGTTATAGAGTTTCAAAGGTAAAGGGCAGCTGCTCGAAGGACAATCAAATACACAAAAAAAAGAACATGGAGAGCATTTTGTTCTACCATTGGCAGAGGAGTACAATTAGGTGATGTCTGGTCCATGTTTAAGCGGATGAGTGGGAAAAGGAAATCCATTAAAATTCCAGCTTTGGTTGATGGGGAGAGGCTGGCAGTGACAGATAAAGAGAAGGCAGATATGTTAGGAAGGACACTTGCAGCAGTACATAGTGGGGAACATCTCAGTGATATTCATAGGCAGCAAAAACAGCAATTACTAGCAGAGAATGAAAACGTGAAGGAGAAGAGACAGGATAATAGGTCAGCTCTGGATGTGGAATTTACAATGTCAGAACTCAAAATAGCCTTACAAGGTACAGGATATACAGCCCCAGGACAAGACCAGCTATGTTATGCTATGTTTAGACAGTTACCTATGGAAACTATGACAATGGTGCTGAGTCTTTTCAATAAAATCTGGAGAGAAGGAGATATGCCAAGTTTGTGGAAAACAGCAGTCGTGCTACCATTCAATAAGCCAGGGAAAGATACAGCTAACCCTAGTAACTACAGACCAATAGCTCTTACATCACACCTATGTAAATGGATGGAAAAGATCATTGTCCGTAGGCTCTCACATGTACTGGAGCAGAAAGGGCTGCTGAGTAGTTTTCAGAGCGGATTTCGTAAAGGGCGGTCCACAATAGATGCTTTAGTAAGAGTGAGTAATGATGTGGAAAAAACATTGAAAATGAAAGAGATAATGGCAATAGTGTACTTTGACATTGAAAAGGCGTATGACTCTATGTGGAGGGATGGGTTACTGATCAAATTGAGTAGAATGGGTATTGGAGGGAGAATGTACAATTGGGTAAGGGCCTTTTTAACAGACAGGACATTTAGAGTAAAGGTTGGAGCAGATATTTCCAATTATTTTGAAATAGAAAATGGTATTCCCCAAGGGAGTGCAGTCAGTCCAATATTATTTAACATCATGATTAATGATATATTGCCATGCTTAGACACATGCATTCAATCGGCTCTATACGCAGATGATGGGGCTATTTGGATGAGGGGAAGAAATGCCCCATACGTAATGGAGAATATAGCTAGAGCGATTAAACAAGTGGAGAGGTGGTCATATAACTGGGGATTCAAAATGTCAGAAAGCAAATCATGCTACATGGTATTTACAAATAAAAGCAAGATTGATGGCCAACAGCTAACACTATATGACCGTCCAATGACAAAGGTGAATGAGTTCAAATACCTAGGACTGTGGTTTGATAGCAAATATACATGGAAAATGCATATTAATCAAGTGGAAACAAAATGCAAAAAAGTATTAAATGTATTGCGAGCTGTAGCTGGATGCAACTGGGGCGCAGACAAACAAGCATTAATAGACATTTACAGATCAATGTTGAGGTCCACAATAGACTATGGTTGTATAGTGTATGGAGCAGCAGCAAAAACATCGCTTTTAAAATTGATAGAATACAATATAAAGCATTGCGGTTGTGTATTGGACTGATAAAGTCATCCCCTATCAATGCAGTTCTGATAGAAGCAGGAGAGACACCTCTGGAGATCAGAAGAGAGAAACTTGCTCTGTCATACTGGGTCAGGCTACAAGGAAGTGGAGAAGAAAATATTTCAAACAGAATATTACAGGATTGCTGGGAATATGCAAAATTCCAGGGACGTGGGTTTGGCTAGTAAGGAGAGAAGGAGGGCATATGGAGTGGAGACCATCACGTTTGCCAAAGCAACCCCATTTAGTCGTGTTCCCCCATGGCTTTTCCCAGAAGCTAAAATAGATATGAGTATTGTAGAAAGGAAAAAAGAGTGGCAAATAAATGAAGTGGGAATTAAAACAAGTATGTATCTGAATGAAAAGTACTACAATGACCTACAAATGTACACAGATGGTTCTAAGAACAAGGAAGAGTGTGTTGGAGTTGGTATATACATCCCAGACTTTAAAATATCTATTTCAAAAAGAGCGTCTGATCAATTATCAGTGTACACAGCAGAAATGCTTGCTGTAATAATAGGATTACGGTGGGTTGAAGAGGTCAGACCAGATAGGGTGGTGATGTGCACAGATTCATTGTCCATATTACAAAGCATACAATCAACAACAACTGCCAGAGAAGACATTCTCATAGCACTGAATCATAGCCTGTTAAGACTTCACAGAGGCGGTATAGATCTGCAGTGAAAGGGAACGAGTGTGCTGATAAATGAGCAAAAAGTGCAAAAGGAAATCACATTACCAGTTCAACTTGGTAAAGGGGAAGGAAAAGCAATAATTAAGAAAAAAGGGATGGAGATCTGGCAGAAAAGGTGGGAGAAAGGCCAGAAAGGCAAAGACTATCACAAAGTACAAAAGACAAGTACAATTAATATTTATAAAGAAAGAAACAGAAGGGAGGAAATCACGATCGCTAGACTCAGAATAAATCACACAGCATTGAATGGTACGCTGTATATCATGGGGAAAAGTGACAGTGACAAGTGTGGGAACTGTGGAGTAAAAGAAGATGTAGAACATATCTTGTTGCATTGTGACATCTATAAAGCGGAAAGAGAAAAACTAAAGGCTAAAGTTTTAGAGGCAGAGAGGGAATGGAGTGTGGTTGGTGTTTTGGGAACAAAAGGAGAGGGAGTAAGAGCTACCAGAAAGGCACTGTTTACATTCTTGAGTGAAACTGGGGTAGGAAAAATAATTTAACATTAGGTCAGGAAGGAATATAGATTTTTATTTTTGTTTTATTTATTTCATGTTTTTTGTTGATTTATTTAGATTAGATCATAGGTTAAAGAGTTGGTATGATATGATGATTCATACTCATGTACAGTAGGTGGCGGTATGCACCTTCTAAATTGTTTGCAATCCGCCAAAAACGAAGAGAAGAAGAAGAAAAAGAATTCATTTAAGTGCTGCACACAACATGGAGGAAAAGAAATTGTAAAGGTCAGTCATCTTTTTACATTAAATAACGCTCAGTTGCAGCAAAACCTGCCTTCATTGTTAGTGTATTAGTTATGTTAATACTGACCCTCAGGTAAGTGGAGACATTAACCCTTGTGACGTGTTAAACCTTACAGTTACATGATGTAACGGTGATGTTTTGCTAACATGCTAATCATACCGGAATACTTTCATGTAACACTCTGTTTATAAATGCGTGGGATTAAAAACGGCGTGTTAAGTTTAACATGTAATTCAAATGCAGAAATGCAGATATGTATTTCGTATAATACTGTAGTAGTTATTATAGCTCAGTATAATACATAATAAAGCTGAATAAGTACTCAGATCTTGTAAGTAAAAATAAGTAGTACCAGAGTGTAGGAATACCCAGTTACAAGTAAGAGTCTTGCAATACAACGTTACTCAAGTAAAAGTACAAAAGTATTATCATCAAACTATAGTTAAAGTAGCGACAGTAAAAGTAGTCATTGTGCAGATTGGTCCATTTCAGAATAATATATATGATATGTTTTATAATGATTGATCATGAAAGTGTTCTCAAAGCTGGTAAAGGTGCAGCTAGTTTGAATGACTTTGTATACTGCAGGGTAGCTTGTGAATTTACTCCAGGTGGAACTAAAGTCTGATTTAACACTTGATTATATTTCACATCATTCATCCACATCTGGAAAGTAACTAAAGGTATTAAATAAATGTAGGCATAAAAGCACACAATTTACCTCTATAATGTAGAAGTATAAAGTACTTCAAGATTTACTCATGTACAGTACTTGAGTAAATCTACTTGGTTACTTTAACGAGGCTTCACTAACACCTTGTCCTTCCTCAGCTGCTGGCAGGTCTGACCGCAGGGACCATGATCTGTCTCCTCCTGTCCAGGGGGCTTCTTCCTGGGACACAGCTGTGCTCTGTCCCCCGGCAGAGGCTCCATAGACTGGCTTCACTCCAGAATGTCAGAATGCTAACTCCAAAGAAAGTCCAAAGCTTACTTTACCCCTTCAGTCAGATGGAGCCTTACCTGGACAGGTACTGTATTTTCTGTCCACATCCGGACAGTGTTGGAAGAAGTACTCCATTACTTAAGTAAAAGTACAAATACTATGGTCTTAAAATACTCCACTAGAAGTAAAAGTCCCGATTTTAAAATGTTACATAAGTAAAAGTACAAAAGTGAGTGATAAACATTCATCTGTTTGTCATCTTAAAATCTACTTATTTATCTAAATAGTTATCACCGTAATAAACCTTATCGAATTTTGTCTTACTGTACAATATTTAATTTGACATTCTTTTCTTGTATATATCATATTCTATTTACGTGTATATAGACGAAGTTCTTGCACTATTTTTGTATTTGTTTTTTTGTATTTTATTATATATGTTGCATTGTTGGAGGAGCTCGGGTCAGAAGAATGTAATTGCCATTTCTACACTGTAGCTTATGTGCATAGGACATTACAACCTTTGAAAAGCGTTAGCATCAAAATATACTTAGAGTGCACTCTTTACCTTGGCATTGCTTTGTCTCTTCATTATAGCAGAGGCTTGAGTAAAGCATTTCCAAGCAGTAAAAGCAGGAAGTGAAAGGACTCATTCTGCACAATGACCCATTTCATAATAACATCAAATACAGAAGAATTATCAGCTAAATGTTCGTAAAGTATCAAAAGTAAAAGTACATGTTAACAGAAGGGATCCTTTGACAGTATATTATTATTATGGTTATTGTATCATCCTGTCTTTACACATGTAAGTAACAGCATTTTAGTATTGCAGTTTTCTCAATGTGGACCAAATGTAGGTACTGAAAATACCGTGCAGATTAGTAGTACAGTACTGCATTGTACCATTTTGTCATACGTCCAACGTAACTGTGTTAAAGTAAATGTAGTGGAGTAGAAGAAAAAAGTGGCATAAAATGGAAATAAGTAAGGTACAAATATGTCAAAAGTACCAAAGTTCAATACCTGAGTAAATGTACTTTGTTACTTTTAACGACTGCATCTGGGATGTTTGACTAGATGATTCTCTACATGTTTTCCTTCATCTCCCCTGAATGTGATTTGTATAAAGTGAAATGGAATGCCCCTTTCAGGTCGATTGACCGGTCTCAGTTCCAGCACTTCCATCCCAGCGTGGAGGACATGATGAAAGCAGAAACTCTCTTCCTCTCCTCGCCGTCTCATAAGATCGATTACTGCATCTCTGCAGAGCGGTTGGACCATGTTCCTGTCCTGAAGCCACCAGAGGTCAGTGGGCAGCCCCCTCTCACTGTTATCCCCCCAGCTGTGCAGTGTTTTGGCATCTGGTACATTCAAACCCATGGACTCCTCCGACAGACTTCCTGGTTGTTTTTCATGTCTAACCTAAAGCAACTCCTCCCAACAACCCTTGTGTTGTTCACATGCAGTGTGAACGCCTGCTTAAGGCTACCGGTGTCTTATTAAAGGGTACACAGAGAGAGTAGAGTTTGTGTAAGCTACAATTTAAATAATTCATGATGCTGTGGCAGTGTGCAACAAATTGTTCTTTGAAGAAGCCAGGCAGTGAAGAATGTACCCCGGGTCTCGCAAATCTCCCCTTCATCTGATAAAGTGAAACTGTAAATACAATTACAAAAATATTCAAATTGATTGCACATGCAAGGACATTTTCTTACATCACAGTTGCTGCAAACCTTTGTGTTTGCACTGTATGACAACTGTGATGTTGATGAATTGATAGTTGGATTACCCTGTGTTCTCTTATGCTCTCCGTGTCCACCATGAGCAGATGTTGTGTCACTTTCAGATTTGCATTTCTCAAACTCTGCATTAGTCCATGTCATAGGCACATCAAACACAGGTGCAGTTATTCTGTAATGAACATGTGTTGTAAAAAGCACCCAAACTCTAGCGTTAAACCCTTCATATGTCACTCTGAGAGCACAGACTCGCCGAGTTTCCTGAGTTTGGAAGTCATGTTTCAGACTTTGTTGTGCTCCTTAGCCTAATGTGGAAACCACACAGATGTGTTTTGTTTTATTGCTATGACCAGCAAGTTTGACTTGTTTTTCTGAATTAAGGGGACGTCCAGATGAGTTGTACATGTCAGGGGAACTCAATTTCTGGATGTTCTTATGACACATGAACGCAGCACAGAGTGAAACATAATATGTGTATCCGCTACAAAAATGTAAGCAATCCTGCTGACAGACAGACAAAAAATGTTTGTTGGTGAGATTGTAGCTTCTTCTTCTAAACCCATGCTGTTTCACATTGTCCTTCCTCAGCTCGAAACGTGGACACTCAGTGTGTGAAAAAGGAAGCGTAATGTCTCTGCAGCCTCATACATAATGAAGCATGAGTTGACAGCTGATAATGCATGAGCAGATATGTAACCTTACAGACAGTGGTGTTCAGCAGGGGCTTCAGAATGGAACAGTGTTGGTAGGACAGCGGGGGCTCAGTCAATCCCCTCTCCGCTCTGTCACTGATGATGTATGTGAGCTCCCTGCATCCATCTGTCTGTCTGAGAGAGTGATGAGCCGCTGCTCCCCCCCCCCCCCCCGTCAGAGCAGGTGATGGTAAATGGACTGCATCTATGTAGTGTTTTAACATATACAGGAAAGCTTTCACCCATTCACACACATCCATACAGAGGCACACGGGAGAATAACACACGCACACGCACACACACATGTTCACTGAATGAAAAACATCTGAGAGAGCTTTAAAAGTTTCAATCAACAACTTTTTCTCTTTATTTATCATTCCGAAGTGGATTGCAAGATGGCTGTAGAGTAATCACCAGCATTTCAATTGGTTCCCTCGCTGTTACGGTGAAATCTGCCCAACTCTGGTTCCAAATTAAGGCTCTATTTACTTAATATATACTTTGAGCTGTGTCTATACTTATGAAGGTATTACATTAATAACACAGACACTCTTTAGTCTTAACCAGAACTGCAAACTCCTGTTGTTACCTTTAACAATAAAATCCCTTTACATAAAACCTGACCACTGCTGAGCAGCTGAGCGTCTCGCTAAGAGGCAACTCAACCTTATAGAGAACAGTATCTCTCCCCAGGTAGCAGAACGTGATAAAAAGCGTTCTTTTTCAAAGTGATTGGTCTGAATTTGCCACAGTGGCCCAACAGTTATTATTGGATAAGCTAGGGGGGCTAATTGTCTGTTGTCTGTTGCTCAGAGATTTGTATTGACGGGAAACCCTGCCTTTCATGAAGCATATTCAGGCAGCAGCCTATACACCAACACTGAAACACATGAGCACATACTACAGTTTAAAAAAGCAGAAATAAAATCTGAGCTGACAGAAAATGCTCCGTTTTAGTTTAATAAAACGAAAGGTGGCGCAGTGGGTTGTGCGTTGGTGTTCGGATCAGGGGGTCACAGGTTCAAACCCCACTGCAGTCAGCATGTCGTTGTGTCCCTGAGACACTTCACCCCAAATTGCTCCTGTGGGGATTGTCCACAGTATTGAGTATGTAAGTCGCTTTGGATAAAAGCGTCTAACAAGTAACATGTAATGTAATATGATGTAATACACACAGTTAAGCTCACATACACTTTTTTATGAACATATAGGGCACTTCTCTGCCACATATTCTCCGTAAAAAAGGCCTGATGGTTATTTTTGGCCGACCCCATGTGACTGTTTAAAGGTCACGCCCACACAGGAGACCAAGTTTGGTTTAGAACAAATGAAGAAAGTGAAAACCATAAAGCAGATTCAGGCAGTAGGCGTATAGATTCACACTAAAAGTATTATCCTACAGAACAGTACAGCTCTATGAGAAGAGATAACATCTGATCCTTTACAACAAACACTATATGCTCTTTTTAGATTTTACTAACAATGTAATCCTGCTAGAAATCCCTAATTTATGGAAATGTACCAGTAATCAGATTTGTTATGTACCTGTAATGGAATACAGTTAACATTTTTTGTATTCTGATGACCTAATCCTGTCACATGTAATCCGTTCCTCCAATAGCCTGCATGTCATTGAGTCACTATCATTATCACAGTGTAATGTCATTTAACACAATATTTCAAAATAAAGCAGCTTGTGTTTATCTCCAGGTGTGTTTCATCGGCAGGAGCAACGTGGGCAAGTCCTCTCTCATCAAAACTCTGTTCTCCCTCACTCCGGAGGTAGAGGTCCGAGTGTCCAAAACTCCTGTGAGTACCCACAATGCACCGTGTGTTTCTTTCCTTTATTATTCTGTTGATAATGTAAGGCTAAAGCTCTTTTATACACGAAGGGTCACCTGTGTGTGGAACCTCACTACCTACAAAGTTCAAAAGTATTGTTTAGTTATTTGGTCAGAGTTGACTTGTATATCTTTGTTTTAATTTAAATGACTAACATACATTTGTTTCCTTGTGTCTGATTTAATTTGACCAATGTTATGCTTGTCAGTTCTTTATTTCTTAACCTAAAATGTTTGCAGTGTGCCTTTGGGACTCTTAGAAATAGTAATATTAATAACAATGACACACTGCTCATCAGATGGAACATATATAAGTGTAACATTGCATTACATTAAATTGAAATCCAGCGCCTCACACACATCACCAGTGTGATTTAAAGCGTGTGATTCCTCTCTTTGGTTTGTCATGATACCTGCATGTGCCATCCGACCTCTGCAGCTCATCCAGAATGCAGCGGCCCGTCTGGTCTTCAACCTTCCTAAATTCTCCCACACCACACCGCTCCTCCGCTCCCTTCACTGGCTTCCAGTAACTGCTAGAATCCACTTCAAGACACTCTGGTACTTGCGTACCATGCTGTGAATGGAACTGGCCCTTCCTACATCCAGGACATGGTTAAACCATACACCCCAGCACGTGCACTCCGCTCTGCATCAGCCAAACGGCTCACTGCACCCTCACTGCGAGGGGGACCCAAGTTCCCATCAGCAAAAACACGTGGGTTTGCTATCCTGGCTCCAAAATGGTGGAATGAGCTCCCCATTGACATCAGGACAGCAGAAAGCTTACACATCTTCTGGCGCAGACTAAAAACTAATCTCTTTCGACTCCACTTCAAGCAATAGAATTACTAACAAAGCACTTATATACTAACAAAGGACTGGCTTATCTAAAGCCAGTTGAGTAGCACATGAAATGTTTTGGCTCTATGAAACCTGATGTACTTATATGATTCTGTTTTCTTCAAGTTTGTATCTTCTTGGTCAAGACTCTAATGCACTTATTGTAAGTCGCTTTGGGTAAAAACGTCAGCTAAATGCAATGTAATGTAATATATGTCTAGTTTAGTGGGAATGCTGATACAGCATTCCAACTATATGTAATGCTACGGACAAAAAGTTTATTATTCCGCCGACTTATTTTGGCCTTCTTCTCCTCCCACATTCAACATCGCAGAAACTCCGTTCAAACATCAAAACGTTCAGCTCGGTCGGGAATCGCAGGCTATTACTTTTATCATTCATAACTTTCATAATTCCAGAGATACATCCCATAATACATCACATTTTTAACATTTTAACTTTAACATTGCGCAGCTCGTTAAGGCAGAGTGCGTGTGGAGAGTGGAGCAAATCTTGAAATTTGCCTTTTATTTTTTTTAAACTGCCATAATTCCCAAACCCTACATTCCTGAGACATAATTTTTCATGACAAATGTAGGAAAACATCTCGTAGCTTGAAAAATGACAAATAATTAAGCAAAAATAATTAAACAAAATGCCTCTTGAGGGCATGAAGTGACAAAAACGTTCAACATGTCTCCATTAAAACCCATTGTAATTTCAGGCTGATATTTCCTCACAGCAGCAGCCGCACACCTTTAGTTAAACTGCCAAAAAGGCCACATTATTAACCCGAAAGTACACAAAGATTACACTTCAGATACTCAACTTCCTTGACATGCTTCACGTTTTGAAATTTCACAGATATCTGTTATCGTTCTTCCACAAAACGTTCACATGTAAGAGGTTTATCTCATTCAGAACAAACCTTTGATCTCTACAGAGCTCGTTAGCTCAACTATAAACACCTGTGTAATGGAACACGATGATGTCATCACTCCAACTGACATGCTCAGAGCAGCATCTCTCTCTCTGCCACACACAGACACACACACACTCTCTCTCTCTCTCTCTCACACACAATGTTCCAAACGGCCCAAAACTTCACAGGTTTGGTAACGATGCAGCCATCAACGCATCTAAGCGTAGTATGGGGTGTTATCAAATGCCGTTGCCATGGCGACAGACCACTCGCCATGAAACACGATGTCGCTGTAAGTCCAATGGACACGGTCCAATCGTCCCCCAATCTTCACTTGTATATCACCGGTCCATGCCTCAACAGCTCTACACCAAATCTGAAATCTCACCATATGCCGTTTCCATGGAAACGCATCCCTCGCCATAAAACACGATGTCCCTTTAACTCCTATGAAAATGTTCAAAAAGTGCTCAAAATTCACATGTGTGCTAACAGTCCAGCCGTGAAGACATCTACGAGACAGCTATGAGATTTCTTCAAATGCCGTTGCCATGGCAACACAATGCTCGCCATGAAACACGGTTTTCTCATAACTTCAGTGAAAATGCTTCAAACGGCCCAAAACTTCACAGGTTTGTTAACGATGCAGCCATCAACGCACATACGTATTATGGGGTGTCATCAAATGCCGTTGCCATGGCGACAGACCACTCGCCATGAAGCACGATGTCGCTGTAAGTCCAATGGACACGGTCCGATCATCCTCCAAACTTCGCTTGTATATCACCGGTACAGCCCTCAACAGCTCTATGTCAATTATGGGGTTTCTTCAAATGCCGTTGCCATGGTAAAACAAGGCTCGCCATGAAACACGGTTTTCTCATAACTTCAGTGAAAATGCTCCAAACAGCCCAAAACTTCACAGGTTTGGTAACGATGCAGCCATCCACACATCAAGCGTATTATGGGATGTCATCAAATGCTGTTGGCATGGTGACAGATCATTCACCATCAAGTTAGTTCAAAAGTTTGCAGTTCAAATATTCTGCTGCTTTTCCAAGCCTTTTTACTTTATTTTCCTCTCTCTCTCTCTCTCTCTCTCTCTCTCTCTCTCTCTCTCTCTCTCTCTCTCTCTCTCTCTCTCTCTCTCTCTCTCTCTCTCTCTCTCTCTCTCTCTCTCCTCCTCAGGGTCACACTAAGAAGATGAACTTCTTCCGGGTGGGCAGAGCCTTCACCATCGTGGACATGCCGGGGTACGGACACAGATCGCCCAAAGACTTTGTGGATATGGTGGAGCCGTACCTTTTCACCAGAGAGAAGTAAGAATAAACCTCATTCATACTTCTCAGGGGTACATATAATATAGTTAATTATTATGTCTTTATTGATCAGGGATTATACATAAAATTACATTAAAGGTGCGGTAGGTAATTTTGGAGAAACCAGCTCGAGTGCGCTAGAATCTGCCTCTTCCTTCAGACTTCCTTACAGAGCCCCTCCTCCAACACACACGAACGCACACATGACCAATGAGGGCACGAGATAAGTTTGTGCACAGATGGAAGGCTGACAGGCAGGCAGGCCATCCAGTTATTTTAGCCGGGCTGGCTAAAATGATTGGTCGTGCTTTTTACAGCGCTAAGGCTTCCACAGATGACATTTTTTGTATGTATTTATTGTCAAAGCATTTAATGTATTCATTGCTATCGGGATGTTAAGAGCATTCCATGGAATATAACAAAAAGTGTTTCTGAAATAAATTACATACCCCACCTTTAATCTCAAAGAGAGAAAATGTGCTATATACGATACGATACGATATTACTTTATTTGTCAGATCAAGTCTGAAATTTGACTTGCGTCACAGCAGCTCCATGTCCAACATCAACAGACAAATATCCAGACACAAATACATGAAACACAAACAACAAACATTTAACATAACAGCAATCAGTGAGAGAAAACATGCTCAAAGAGCCTTCAGCGTGCATTTGATCTGCATTCAGCTCTGTATTTACTGAGAGGATTGACTGATGCACAAAGGCGTGCTTCAGTCTGACTTTATTGAATCGTGGGACCCTGTATCTCCGATTAGATGGTAGCAGTTCATATTCACTGTTCAGAACATGCTTTGGGTCAGAGATTATGTTGTTGGACAGCCTCACTAGGTTGTTATATGCCAGATTAAAACTAAAAGCTCATTTCCATCTGCAGAACTAAGGTATTTGTGTTATTATTATTATTATGCAATTAGCTATTTCTTTTTATCATGCAGCTATTATGATGCATTGTCAAAAGGTTAGGTAGTTACCTTTTTTTTGACATAATAGAAAATGTTGTAATATGTTAAATACCCATTTGTAAATGTATGCTGTCAGATAGATATAGTAAGAAATACAACATTTTACTTATGTACCCCTGAGATGTATGGAGAAGAAGAATGAAGTAGCAAAGTTGTACTAAATTACAGTACAGAGGGAAATACACTTAGTTACATTTCTGCACTTTTCCAATTGTATTTTGCACAACCCTGTTAGGAGAAATCTGCATGCAAATATATGTTATGCTTATGAGGTCTGTTTCTGTGTTTTCCATGACTCTGACAGAGGGATATTTGTAATATCAGGCCTGCTACCATAAGTTTAAAAGATCTCAGTTTTCTTCGGATTGCTCCACCTGTGGACTGTGACCGGCTCCACAAGGTGGCGCTGTAATAATGCAGCTCTCATATCTGGATTACAGTTTCTGTAGCAATGATGAGCAGACCACTTAAGACCCTGTATATTAAGAAAAGGAATGATACTTTATCCAAAGGGAACGGAGTTTTTTATTTTTCTAGTGTACTAACCAATCTGGAGATTTGAATTTTCTTATTTTAATAACCTTAAAGGACCTTAATAAGAACTGATCAGTCACTTCCTGCTCTTTGTCCTATCTCTGTCTCCTCAGTCTGGTGAGGACCTTCCTGCTGGTCGATGGCAGCGTTGGTCTGCAGCAGGCCGACCTGATCGCCATGGAGATGTGTGAGGAGATCAGACGTCCATACGTGGTAGGACACACACACAGAGGGGTGGGGGGGGGAAAGAGCCCAATATCTCTGGCTCCAACTTCTCAACTGTGAATGTTTTGTAAGGATGCTCCGATCGATCGGCCGTCGATCATTATCGGCCGATATTCACTCTTAATAGTGTGATTGATGCTCTCTATAAAGGCCGATCAGGAGAGCCGATCAGATGACGCAAAATACATGAAACCTTTCCCTGTGCGCTGCAAAAGAAGCTCGCCAAAATGGCTTCACCGGTCTGGCAGTTTTTCAAGGTATCCGAAAAAGACAATAAAATAGCTATATGAAGCGCATCATTTATTGAAAAATGAATCTGAACTTTTCGATCTGTTACGATTATAAACTGAAACAATATAAAAATGAGCCCCATTAACTGAGTTTTAAACATCAGCATATTACCGGTCATAGTCCGGTAATTACCTGCTAACGGAATCTCTGCTACACAATTCACAATACAACACTTTAAATGGAAGATCCCCATAGCCCCCACCCATCCTATGATCGGCCCCAAAATCTGATCGGAGCATCCCTAATGTTTTGTGTTGCATTAGCCTTCTACAGTTGAAAAGTTGTGAAGTCTCTTGGTTTTGACCGGAAACGATACATTTTAACAGATCACTTTGAGAACATGTGATGAGCAGTTTTCACCATGCCAAACATTTGTAAGGTTGATAGATAAATCAATAATGACAATAATCCCTTGTTGCTGCCATAAAACACTTACATAAATGCTGCTTCACTGTGACACACACTTCAGTTGGACTTTATTTACAAACTCTTGCCTGATAGCAGTTGTGTGTGTGGTGAGAGTTGGGATTGTTTGAATGTAAACATGGGAATCATCAACACTAACGTAGTCACACAGAGACTTTGAGCAGCTCCAGGCTGTAATAGGATGATCTAATATTCTAATATTGCTGACAGACAACAGCGTTTAGTTCACCTTCTGCATTTGGATCAAACTAGGTTCTCAATGCAAACTGCACTAGGTTTTGTTTGGAAACCATCAAAGACCATCACTGCATTTACGTCTGCCCCAAACTGTGGGATGAAAACTGACTGAATGTAAACTTGTGGTAGCACCCTAAGGCCCTGTGTTCAATCAATCAATCAATCAATCAATCAAAGTTTATTTATATGGCCCAATATCGCACATTCTACATTTGTCTCAGTGGACTTTACAGTTTATACAGAATATGACAATATGACACCCTCTGTCCTTAGACCCTCACATCGGACAAGGAACAACTTCCAAAGAAACCCCACAGTTTAAAGGGGAAAATGGGAGAAACCTCAGGGAGAGCAACAGAGGAGGGATCCCTCTCCCAGGACGGACAGACGTGCAATAGATGCCGTGTGTAAATTAAAAAGATAATACATTTACAACATAGGTAGTCCAAACGCTAGAAAACATAATGTGTCTATTCAGAAGATAAAGATCGATCCAGGAGGATGTCAACAATCCTCTGGCTGCCATCAGAGAAGTAGTAAGGTGAGCGTCAGGCAGCAACAGCCACGACTCAGGATGCAGGACTAGACAGACACCAAAGACATTTCAGGGATGCTGGGTTATTTGTTTCTTTTAGTTTTCATGGCGTGGGGAGAGCTTTCTATCTTTCATATATCTTGACAACCGATCACCGCTGTTCTACGACCGACTAGCATAGTTCCTTTTTATTATCTCTTTGAGCTATTCACTATTTGTTTGACATTGTTTTTTTCACCATAAGCACAACCTGAAGATGCTTGCTCTCACTTTGTTCAAATGAGCTTTAGCGCTCAGGCAGAAACCCCCAGAGCGATCTGTGTACTGAGATAAAAGTACAGCACTCGACAGGTCTGCTGAAAGAAACACGTTTTTTGGTCTTTGTTATGATAGTTTCTGTTTGACAAACACGGCCAAAAACAAGCTTCCAATGTATACACTGATGTCACAAGCTCTTTCCTGAAATGTTGATTTTCTACCTGAAGTGCTCGTAGCGGCCGAACATAAAACTGTGTTGTGCTCTGAAAAGAGACAGTGGGTGTGCACCTTTATTGCTGCGGCCGCATCAGATGCCATGAGCTCTCTCATTGAAAACTACGGTGGCCGACAACGGCCCAAAACATTCTGCAATGACATAGGAGGGAATCATGTGATCACATTGTTTAAATAAACCCATAACACATTTTAGGTGACAGAGGCAGTTGGCCAACTTTATAATGCCGAACGTCACCAAGTGCTCCAGTCCCAGCTGTGTGCGTCACTTTTTAGCGTCCCCGTTTCCATTGTGTTGTGAGCTTCTTGCAGCGTTTCGTTTATGCAGTGGTTTTATTTATCGCTGCGCATGTTTCATTAAGTTGGTAAAGTTGTTTCTGCATTTGTCTTCGCACAGTTCTTGTTGTTTAATTTGCATTGTACTCCTGTCTGTTTCTACAAACATTTACTATCTGTACACTACTGTAGTAGATACACTGACTTAAGTCATTCATTTAACCATTCATACTATCTGAACTCTCCCTTTAATGCTAACCCCCCCCTCTTCACATTTGACTCATATCTCTTACAGACCCTTATCATTATGTCCACAGTGAGTTAATGCTGAGCGCTCTCACTCAGCTATTTAAAACTGCTGTCCCCTCTGAGCGTTATAATGAAGCCCCCTACACCCCCTCCTCCCCCCTGCAGTCAATTATTCATGCTCTCTGGTTGTTAAACACTTGGACCATTATTAAGGCTGTGTCAGTGCTGCTGTGAACAGACTGAGTTGTTGCTCTGCTCTCCTGTGGCTATGGTATGGATACGATGCAGAGCATAATTAACAGCAGCTTGTTACATTATGAAGTACCAAATGACCAGTTTAAATGGATCAATTTAAATCTGTCCACTAATTCTCAGCATTCAATAGTATCTTCTGACAAGAGAAATACAAGTTCTACACTGCATCTTTTGAACTTTTGGGGGAATAGATGCAAACTAATAATATAGTCAGTCTATGGGGGATGACTAAAGCTAAATAACTGTCATTTTAGCTGTGGATTTATACATTAGTAAAAACCAACTTTGATTCTGATTCTGTTATTACTATCTGTTTGCTGACAGAGCTGTGTTCCTTTAAAGGACACCTATCATGCTATATTTGAACAATATATTGTAGGGCCATACCTATATAAAGTATATAAATATAGTTTTATTTTCAAAATACCAAACAGATCATGCATTTTAGCCATGCCTCATTTCGCTCCATTTGCTCTTTCCAGCACTGTTTTTGCAGGGGGCTGATTCTGTGAGCTGCAGCTGACCACGCCCCCCTGCAGGAGAGGGGAGCGTGCTCTGAACAGCTGCTGGGCTGTCAGAAGAGGGGGGAGATCTCCGTCCTCCGTGTTTTATTATATTATTATATAGAGTCGTTATTCATTTGTTTTAAAGCTCAATAAATAACAAAGAAGACCTTTGACCGGCACTTTTCTAATTTTGTCCGGAAGATTTAAACTTTAACGGACATCTTGACCGGCGAAAGAAAACCAACTGAAACTCTGCCGCACGGTCCCCTCGTTCCTTGGAAGAGGCGGAGAGGTGGGTGTTTGTCATCTGCTGGTGGACTAACCGGAGAGAATTACAGTGCTTGCCTCGACGGGGAGGGATTGCATTGAATTAAAGCAGGAGGAGCAAACGCTTGCCTCGGGGAGGGAGAAAAAAAACCACAGCGGAGAATAAACAGAAGGGTAACCATGGTAACCATGGTAACCATGGTAACCATGCGCGGGAAGTCTTCTTCGCTGCTTTTGTGGCAGACTACAGCGCCACTTACAGGCCTGGCATATGTACTACAGCGTCTCCAGCGCTTTCGAGCGGCAATGGCCGGCCGTGGCCCAACCCCACATTCCCCTGATCATGGATGTATAATAAGAACTGGATACAGCGTGGGAGGCGGGGCCTCATTCATTCCTATGAGAGTTGCTCATTCGCGCATGATGATAAAATGGCCCAACTTTTGAGAGAGCGAAACGTCACAGATTACCCGGCATGCCTGAGAAGTACCCGTATGTGTGCTCATAGTACATGCGCAACTTTAACCATGCCCCCCAAAATGCTCGTTCACATCAAGCACGTCCATTTGCGTACACGTAACAGCACCGCACGTTCATGACAGTATGGTAATGGATTGTTATTATGATGGATTTGATATTAACGAGGCGGCAGTTAGCAGCTAGCGGCTAGCTAGTAATTATGCTCATTTACACATCAATCGTTATGTACTTTTATATTACGCTGTAACAGGATCTAGTGATATCCAAGCAACAGCTTCATTTAGCATGAAAGAATTATTGCACTGTATATATATGTATGTATATATATATATATATATATATATATATACATATATATACATATATATATATACATGTGTATATGTATATACATATATACATATATATATACATGTATATATATATACATATATACGCATATATACGCATACGCATGATTGTCCATAGTTAATCGCGATTAATCGCAAATTAATCACACATTTTTTTATCTGTTCTAAATGTACCTTAGAGGGATATCTTTCAAGTTTTTAATACTCTTATCAACATATGAGTGGACAAATATGCTTTATATGTTTGTTTATTATCATTTGAACAATGACAAATATTCTCATGAATATTAAACACAACAACCTGAACATTACAAATATTCGCCTCAATTCAACCTGGAACCTCTCTCATACTGTGTGTGTGTGTGTGTGTGTGTGTGTGTGTGTGTGTGTGTGTGTGTGTGTGTGTGTGTGTGTGTGTGTGTGTGTGTGTGTGTGTGTGTGTGTGTGTGTGTGTGTGTGTGTGTGTGTGTGTGTGTGTGTGTGTGTGTGTGTGTGTGTGTGTGTGTGTGTGTGTGTGTGTGTGTGTGTGTGTGTGTGTGTGTGTGTGTGTGTGTGTGTGTGTGTGTGTGTGTGTGTGTGTGTGTGTGTGTGTGTGTGTGTGTGTGTGTGTGTGTGTGTGTGTGTGTGTGTGTGTGTGTGTGTGTGTGTGTGGCTCAAGGCATATATGCTCCAACGGGAGCTGCCTGGATGCTGCAATCATGTTGCGCGTACTATCCGTGCTGAGTGTGCTGACTTTTCGTACAATGTCCCACTGTCTGGCTACCTGCATAAAGTCAAGTGCTCGGCGCAGTTGTCGGCGAAATGTTATTGAAACAGCTCCTTATATCCGTTAGCGCAGCTAGCTAGCACCAGATGCTAACAACAACAACACGTAAGGTGTGCCTCGCTCGCGCGAGTCGCGCCACACATACACACTCCCTCCCGGTCCTCCCGATGGCCAGTCCGGGCCTGCCAGTGAGCGTGGAAGTGTGGTCTGCCACAAGCGGAGCTGTGCGGGGCTGTCAGCATCAGCTTGTCGATGGTATTTTAAACTCGATGCGCTCTGAAACTACGGCGGCCGAGGACAAAAAATACACATGCGTTAATCGCGTTAAAATAATTAGTGGCGTTAATTTTTTTTTGCGTTAACGCGTTATTAACGCGTTAACTTGACAGCCCTAATATATATATATATATATATATATATATATGCAGTGGCGGCCGGTCCATAGGGGCGCTAGGGGCGCCGCCCCACCTCTTCCCATATTGAAAAAAAAAAAATAAATAATAATTAAAATTAAAATTAAAAAAAAAATATATGTTTAAAAAAATATATATGTTTTTATTTTTATTTTTAATGAACAAGGTAAATATTATATAATTGGTATCAGTAAAATGTATAATCTACAATAAAATCTCGTTTAAAATTGTGTTACGATGTCTAAAGTTACTGATAAGTCACATGTTTCCTGCCTGGCCTTGCCCATGCACCTTCTCTCGTCTGGGCGCTAAGAGAGGAGCCTTCAACCAGTGCAGCAGCAGCCACCAGCAGCTGACTGTTGCTATCTGTAACGTGTAAACTATGCCGCGAAAATATAATTTCAGCCAATCAGCGTCGTCAAAGATGACGGTCACCGGGCGCCAATGTCAGCGCCCAGTGCAGTCTGTGAGTAGTTTGGACAGTGACTCGTATCCGGTTGACGCAGTAGTTGATGAGGATGGCTTCGTGTGCAGGTGGAGTCTCCGGACCTCGGTCCGCGCCTAATTCTGTTCAAGAGCTAATCTCCAATCCTTTCGAAAGGAGAAGTTTGGCAGATAAATTGTTGCTTAAAGACCTTGCACCGGACCAACCCGATTTGAATATATCGCAGCAATCTCGTGAAAAAGACAACATTTATACACGAGGCTTCACAAGTAGCTGGTACACAAGAAAGGCTTGGCTAGCTGGATGCAAACAGGTAAATGCTGTCTTTTGTTTCCCATGCTTGGATATCACTTTATATGTAGAGAGGAGGTTTCCCATGGTTGTTAGAAGTTTATTAATAAGTGGGCATTTATCACAGAAGTGATTGTTCTGTCTCCACGTTTGTTGCATTGTCTGTGATGTATTTTCCAACGGTTATAGCTCCTGTTCTGTCCCAGCAACACTACACGGTTTGCAGCTCCACCACATTTTTGGTTTATCTTCGGTGTCGCTTAAAATCTGCTTCCCATCGGACTAAAACCTCCACGTAATCTGAAGACAGATACTTGAAGTTATTTAAACCTTTTGCAAACTTTATGTTCTTTCTTGCTCTAGCCTTGCCAGTTACATTGTACATAACACATATATTATCATTATGCTAACTGGTTGTTCGTGTTAGACGATGTAGCTTTTTCATTTCTGAGTTATTGCTATATGTAAATAAGCCTGTTTGTAAATAATCCTCAGAGAAACAAAGAAAAAACACAATTTATGACATTTTGTGCTGTGGTTATTTTTTTTAAATTGCATTTATTCACAGTTCAGTTTGAAATGCTGTAGTGACTTGTATTGAACCACTTAAATATTTATAATTAATGCTACTGAAAAGATGCTATTAATTTTATATCTCACATGCAGTTCACTGTAAAGCTACTTGGTGAAGGTGTTGGTTCATAAAACATGAACAGTTTTAAGAAAGAAAAAAACAGACCAGTTCTGAGAACACAAATTCCTGGTAAAGTAGTAGATGTTCAGGTTGATAAATAATATTTTCCACACTGAAGATTATGGAGGTATTGATCAGTCTTCTCATATTTTTAAGCCTCGATTTCTCCTTTCCCCCCCCCCTCTAACATCACCAGAAGTCATCATTTAAGGGGTCATTTCTCGAAAAAAAATTTCGGGGGGAAACCCCCCGGACCCCCCGGGTAGGTCACTTACGGTACGTCAAGAGCCCCACCAAAAAAAAAGACCACCGGCCGCCAGTGTATATATGTATATATATACACATAAATATATATATATACATATATATACATATATATATATACAGTGCAATAAGCTTCTTAGTGCAATAAGAAGCTACAGGGACGTTAATCTACGTCGGTAATATTAACTTTATTTAATACAACATTTACGGTACAAGATTTAATAATACAGCCCATGTAGTATAATATTTTACAAATGATGAATTACAGCAAACATGTGCAATATATCCATTATTACAGCTCCGTGGGCTGGCAGTAAGGCGATATGGGTCCGTTCTTATTGTGCATCCATGGGTAAAGATAAACGCATGTAGTGCTGAACACGTAACATGAACGTGCCGGGCGGTGGGTTATATGCGCATTCATAATGCAGAGGGAAATAACTCTCAGAATAACGTTATTAGCACATTTTTACAACTTGAGGAACGAATGTTTTTAATAAGGGCTATACAAGTGTTCATACTGGGTAGTTTATTTAGTTTAAAAAAAATTATCCAACGATTTACAGACCACTCTTTCCCCATGTAAGTCAATGGGAAAAAGTGTTTCCGGGCCTGGCAACCAAAAGGAAGTGTAGTACCGCCGTTTGGCCAGCACGAATATTTTCATCTGAGTCCGGCGCACTTCCTGGGGGCTTGCCCCTGATAGGTGGAGAGTTGGCCCAATAGCCGTAGCGCCACCGTCCTGACGTCAGGACAGTGTTCAAATCTGGATCAGTTTTTATCAGATCCGTTGCAGCCCCTTTTTTTAGAGATTTGGGTATGGAGGAAAATAGAGAGGGTTGTGTTTTCTGACACTTGGTGAGTTTCCTGGAACACCGGGGACACATTCATGTATAAAAGACGTACAAAAGTGCATTTTGCATGATAGGTCCCCTTTAAGTCTGAGCTCTATTCTTTTGAGGGTAGAATTGTAATGTGTCACATGTTGCTGTGCAGATGGTGCTGACTAAGATTGACAAATCTGGAAATGGAACTGTGCTGAGGAACCTGATGAGTCTGCAGGATACTGTCAGAAGGAACACCACGAGCTGCTTCCCCCAGCCGCTGCTCATCAGGTCAGTCACTCTGTTTGTTCTCTACTTTACAATCAGCCTGCTGAGATTTGATATGTTAGTTCATAAACAAAGCTCAAACAAGTTCTGTGTGTGGGTATTAAAGCCATGTGCATCTTCTCCCTCTGTGCGTGCAAACACATTTCCAGGATCATATCAGTATTCAATTCAATTCAATTCAATTCAAGTTTATTTATATAGCCCAAAATCACAAATCCTATTTGTCTCAGAGGGCTTCACAAATCAACAAACACAATTGGCAATGTAAAACAATGTAAAAACAACAAACGTAATTTAAAAAGGAACATAACACAATGACACAAATACAGTTAGAGTACAATAATTAAAATTCCATAAAACGAAGGGTCCATGAGGATGTATACAAGGGGGTTTAAAACCAGTCTTAACTGTACGCTGTACTAAAGAGGAAAGTCTTTAACCTACTCTTAAATGTGTGGACACTGTCTGCCTCCCTAATCGTCACTGGAAGTTGGTTCCAGAGGAACGGGGCTTGGTAGCCGAAAGCTCTAGCACCTGACCTTTTTTTGTGGACTCTGGGAACCACCAACAGACCTGCACTCTGGGATCTTAATGCCCTAGAGGGGCAATAGGAGATTAAAAGATCCTGTAGGTAGGATGGTCCCTGACCATTGAGCGCTTTGTATGTGAGTAAAAGTATTTAGTGTCTCTACTGGGACATGTCTTCATACTTTAATGTTCAAAAAGCTCTTTATTCTTCTCATACTGCCTGTGCTGCAGCACCTCTTTTCACCCTCTGTCTGAAACCAGAGCCCAGTCTGCTCTGACTGGTTAGCTGGCTGGCTCTGTAGTGATTGGTCAACTGTTTAGATATTTTTCGAAGATGTCTCGCCCCTTAGCCTATGATGTACACTGAGTGCTAGCCAAAAGAAGTGCAAGTGTTACAGAGTGGGTTTTAGGAATGTTTCAATGTTTGATGGATGGTTGTGACTCTTTATTAATTCCATGCTCACGTGTTAAGATGGTAGGTTCCTCAATATCTCGTTCCACATATACTCTCGGCACTGGCTGTCTTTCAAATTTTGACAAAAATATTATTGTTGTTTTTTATTCTCAATTGGTTCTATATTTGTTTGTTTTTTCACTCACTCTTACATTATTGTTAACGTCTCTGTCCAATTGTCATGTTACACAAAACATTTGCAAAGCAGATTTTTAAACTAGTTAAAATCCAGAAATGTTTACATCCATGTTGATCAGCTTCCACTCCTCTTCCACTGCAGTATAGACTACTGTGTTGATACCTGTAGATCAGGAACACATTGTGTTGTTTGTCTTCTTCATCTGGTGAAAGGACAATCAGTAAAACAGCTCCAGTAGAAGAGGAAAAAGCATGTGTAACAAAAACATCATGTCATCCATCATTTTTACAGAGATCAATTCAGTTAATCAATTGAGCTGTTTGCAGTAATAACTGAGGATGTAATGTCTCTTTGTAATCATCCATAATTCAGAAGTCTCTCTCTCTTTGCAACAGCTCCCTGAACTTCTGCGGGATCTACCTGCTGCGCTGCTTCATCGCTCATGTAACGGGGAGCATCAGTTTGACAGACACCTCTCTCAGCTGACCTGAGGCCAGCGGACTGGGTGGAGCTGGGACTCGCCTAACTGTTATTTTTATTTCCTAATAAAATGTAAAACATTCACTGGTCCAGCGACCTTGTTGTACTAAAGTGGCCCTGATCCAGGAACATGATGATGATGATGATGATGATGATGATGATGATGATGATGATGCTGTCAACTGCTTTTAAGAGACCAGGGATTAATGAATAAGAGATGAACCTGGAGTAATATAAGACAAAAAAAAGACAACACCCAAACCGGACCACACTGTGGACGTGACCTGTCAATCACAAGTCCCGCCCCAAGCATACCCTTAACTCATCAGGAAAATGTTTACTGAGGTAATACATCAAGTGAGAAGTTTAGGCTAATTTCCTCATAGCCTTCTACACAATCTAGCTTTCTTGGTGTGTTGAGTGGGCCTCTTCAACAATAACTGTTAAATGGTTGGATGGATGACTCACTGAGAGGAAGGCTTGGCAGCAACTGACTGACTGAATCATTCACCACATTATGTAGTTTAGTGGTACAATAAGTAGCACTGAATATATAATAACTAACACAGCCTTCAAACTAAGTATATTACACCGGTTTCACACTGTCTTTAAACCTGCAGCAGTTAAGAGGAGCATGAATTGTATAAATACACTTTGTTACTCATCCAAGCTAATTCCGGAAACAACTCATTTTAATGACAAGGCCTTGCTTTGCGTTTTTTTTTTTAATACTGTTATCATTGTTGTCTTCTCAAAGTTTCCGGGATAACTTTTGTGCAGAAAAATAACTTTCTGTTAAAATCAGGAGTGGACACAATGGATCAGATGGTTGGCACTTACACATGCAAGCGGAGAACAGGGAGGTGGCCCATGGTGCTCTGGCACAATGTACTGATGTTGCCACCCTCAATGCCTACCCCATCTTTACTGCACAACACCCTGATTACATGGGGGGGGGGGGGGGGGGTGACCAATGCTCGGCGGCTTTTCATCAATGAGCTGGGCCTAGAGCTTATGAAGAGGCGCATGGAGGGCACGCCGCACCTCCAAGAGCACATTACAGGGGCAATGGAAAGATGTGGGCTAAAAAGAGCGCACACCATCCAGCCACAGGAGGACACCAGACAGGAGGGACAAGGGAAAAGAAAGCTGCAAGATCTGCCCAGCTGGCAAAGACCGAAAAGCCAGCAGCTGGTGTTCCAAGTGAAGCAGCTCTGTGTGCAAGGGCACAAACGTGTGATCGTCATTTGTGAGGTACTGACATGGCAATTTGCACAATCAGTTTTATTTTATTTTTATTCAATCATTGTATACATTCACCACAGTACAATAGTTACGCTACAGAAACAATTACAGTTAAATATCACTCTTGTCCTTTGTATGATATATGTTATTTGTGAGTGTGACAAATAAAGATTTCAAATATGAAATGTATTGTTTGCTCCAAATCACTGATAATATAATATTTTTTATCCAAATTATTATTTTAGTATGTTTTGATTTATCATTTCTATCACACTTGCATACATGGGTCATTTTTGTGTATCAAAGGGTTAAAATAACGCACCAAATATGACTAGTTTAACACTGTAATGGGTTGGTTAGTGATGGAGCTGACAATAATTACAGACAGTTGAGGCCACTTATAATTTAGATCCCACTTTATATTGGTGACCGGATTTAGGAAATCCAAATGTCTTTGTTCCACAGTTCTTCTTTTCACCTGTTTTTTAATCACTTTATTATGCAATTGAAAGACATACAAATGTATGTTTCACAACAGCTCAATATGTAACCTCTCAAACAACTGTTGTTTTTTAAATAACTCTTTCCCTTGTTTGCAGACAGCTTTAAAGAATTCTGCTGAGCAGCTAAAGCTAGTTTAATTAATAAAACTAAATGAACGACACGTTTGAATATGATGGATCCAGTCTGCAGAGATCAATGGACAGCACATCAGCAGACATGCAGTCATAACGTTTTTATAGGGTCAAGTTCACAATCTGAACTTCATCGTATCCTCCTTCATTTTTTTATCCAACCTTTATTTCCTTTAACGGTGTAGCAGATACATGCAGCTCATCTGATTAGATTGTTATCTGCTCTCAGATCTCCTGAGAGAATAGCCTTGACGTGACACGGAGCTTCACACACAGAAGGATACTTAACATTTACTGCATGCTGTACCAAGGACACACGTCAGATGGAGAGAAGGAGATAAAGGCAGATAAAGACGTGATAAGACTTCCTCTGAAGGGCACCTGGAAGTTTTTCTGATCCTTCCTCATTCCACACCGTGAGGATGTAGACGTACAGAACAACGCTCCACACACACATTCACACTTTATGAGACATGTGCGAATCACCTCACAAAGCTTTTAAAGGGATAACTTGTGTTCTCCTTTTCAATCAGTTAAAGTTACTGGGATTTGATTTGGAGATATTACTGTAAGATACATGTGATACACTGATAAGAAATACGACTATTGGCCAAGACCAAGTGGTTTTTTTCTTTTAAAGACCTAGAAAGGGTTATTAACGCCATTGTTACCTTGAGGTTGGATCACTGCAACGCTCTGTACGTGGGTATGGACCAGGCGTCAATTAGACGCCTGCAGCTAGTGCAGAACGCAGCTGCACGTCTTCTCACTGGCCATAAAAAGCGTGACCACATCACCCCAATTCTGGCCTCACTGCACTGGCTTCCAATTCGGTTCCGAATTGATTTTAAACTCCTTTTATTTGTTTTTAAAGCCCTAAATGGGCTGGCTCTGGCTTATATAGCAGAACTCCTCCATCGCTACACCCCAGCCAGAGCTTTAAGGTCGGCTGACCAGCTGCTGCTGATAGTGCCCAAGACCAGGCTCAAAACCTGAGGGCACCGAGCCTTCGCAGCAGCTGGCCCGAGGCTCTGGAACACTCTGCCCCTCCATGTGAGGTCGGCCCAGACCCTAGGTTTTTTTTAATCTACACTTAAAACTCACTTCTTCTCTCTGGCCTTCTAGTCAGAGCGGAGCACGACTCCTGACATTTCCCTGTGTGTGATTTTTATTTTTGCTGTTGTAATTTATTGTCTTCTGTTTTACTATTGTAGTAAAGTGTTTTTATTGCTTGTACAGCACTTTGGCTCGACCAAAATTGTTTTAAAATGTGCTATATAAATAAAACTTGATTTGATTTGATTTGATTTGATAAGATTGTGGGCATGGTTTGAAATGCCAATCTTTATTGCTTTGTTCAGGATATCCTCTGCCATGACAACCCTTCTCAACATATGGCCATGAAAAATATATTTAAAATATCAATACAATAATTATCATAACAAATAAGGAATACAAAATATAAATAAAAAATTAAATCTGGAAAATCGCATAATATCAAAGGTTTGGAAATATGAGTAGTGGAGTTGATATTTATATTCAATGTATTACCCAGATCCCCTTTACTTTACTATTTAAAGCATATTATTTCTTTTTGGTTGTTCTTTCTTATAATAAATATATGTTTTCCCATTCTGTATATGTGGCATTATTTGAGGATCCCGAGACTTTAGATTTTCATCACTAAAACCACACTGTATTGTGCATATGACATTAAAGCATTTGAATCTTTAAATCTTTGAATTACATTTTGCTGCAACTTCTTTTAACAAATGTGGCTTTTACGTAAATAGAAACATGTTTTTGTTCTGCAGAGTTTTCATGATGTCTTAGATAAGCATGGCCGAAACAAACAGCATGATGGATCCTCTGCCGCAGGTAAACATTTGACTCTTTAGTGTGTTATCTGTGAGCAGAGCCTCATCCCCCAACTTTACACCTTTGACGTCAACCTTTTCCAAAAAGATTCTGAATAATTGTCCCTATCCCAAAGAAATGTATGTCATATATTATTCTTCCTAAAGGATGTTTAGTTTTTAATGTTGGCACATTAAAGGTGTCCTATGCTGCTCATGTTCAGGTTCATATCAGTATGTAGTGTCTCTACTGCAGTGGTTCTCAAACTTTTTCTGTCAGGCCCCCCCTTTGGAGAAAAAAAAGAGTCGGGGCCCCCCCAACACAAATAGTCAGGCTCAGTGGCGGCGCCAGAGATTTTTTTTGGGGGTGCTGTGGGGTAGCTTGACGTTTCATAGAGGGTGCTCAAACATTTAGGGTTTCCCATAAAGGCCTTCCCTTATCTTTCTTACAGTGCAGACGCTTTTCCGCTTGCTCTTGCCTCTGCTTACTTTTTATGCTGATTTTCCTATTCTTATTCTCTGAAAACTTCGAGCAGCGGCTCCTGGACATTAACTTATCACTGGGACAGTTATTCATCGTAAATAGTCGGAGGGTTTCAGCCATATTTCAACATTTTTACGACGACCTCAGTCTTACAGTAGCGTGGCCTAGCAACAGCTAAAGCCTAGTAGGCTACTGCATGCTATTTAGCTTAAGCTAGTTGGTAGCAAAATGCCTCCGTTCTCTACAGATGACTTCCACAAACTTCTACAGAAGATGGCTGTGTTGGAAATGAAAATGCAACGGTTGGAAGTTAACGTGGAAGTGAATGGACTATGTTGTGGGAATAACACCACTTTACCAGTGTTGCAAAATAATGGAAAAGGGTATGCTAACTCACAGCTAGTTAGCAGCTACAAGGTTTCCAAGGAACAGGAGGGCTGTGTACTGGGTAATAAATCTACAAGTGGTAGTCCTCCCTGGAACTCTCTGGGTGCAAAGCCTAAGAGTAAATCATTTCCATGGGATTTGGGAGGACGAATAACAGGCAGAGCCCAGCGCTCTGAAATCTGTGATGCGACCGGCTGGCCTGCATTGTTATCACCCAGGAAGAGTGCCTCTTCAACCCCTATTCATACTAGGAAACAGCCGTGGACAGCTGCTAAAGGGAGAACTACAAACAATCCTCCTAAACCACCAAGTGTGCCAATCCAGAACAGATACGCTCCGCTGACCGAGAACCGGAGATCTCTTTCTGATGACCTGGATAACCTGTCCTCTTCACACAGCAGGGTAAGGACCAATAGCTACTCCAAAAGTAAAAGGCTAGAGGGAAAGCTAACGACTGGGCCTGAAACTCTGATTGTG